GACATAACATGAGGTACAAAGAAAACCCAGGGAATGGAACTGCAGCAAAGACAGTCAATGACCTAATACGTCTTAGAAGAAAGATCGAGTCTATTGCATTGAACTAAGGAATTAGAAAATAAGCCAGAAGGCTGCAGTCCCGAGGAAGCGTAAACCCCCCCCCCCTTCATAGTATCCATCATCATCATTGGAATAAAAGAAACCGTGTACGAATTGTGAAATGTTATAAAATAAACGATTTTATTATATTTAAAAGTACATATTACTTGTTTGTATATTGGTCATTATGGCCAACAAAAAACTGTTTTCTTGACTTTACCGTCACTCGTTAACAAGCACGCTATTTATTCTGAGACAAATAACTGTAGGACGCTATTTCATATTCCGTTAAATCTAACCATGCGAACTTCAATCAATTTAGTGTTACCGTTCGCGCTAAGTTATGAGAAATCTCCCTATTGACTATCGCAAAAGAGGCTAAATATTCCTAACGTCTAAGCACCTCGAACTTTTTAACGCTTTCCTCTTTCGAGTTCAATACTATTGTTGACACCGGATGTTTTTAACTTATCATGTCAAATTTGGATTTACTTGGCTAACTAAGGCTCAGGCTAAATACACCTTGAGTTGTATTTTTTGAACAATCGTAATTTAATCCCTGTTATTAAGGCCTTCCATGACCCCAGATTACTGGTTAAAATGATAATCTGTTCGATTTAATTTTGCTTTAACAACTAATCAGGTCCGTTTTCGTATTATATCCGGACTTACGCTATTTCTATAGGAAGATAAGCACAAAATCAACCAAAAATGTCTTATTTTCCCTTCAATTGATCTCTTGTTTCTTTTTAATTGTATCGGCTGCATGGAAATCCGGGACCTTCTTGCTTATTCCACCATTTCCATATATCTTTCAACAAGAATACGGAATATATTTTTTTTTAAATCCAAGGACATTACTTGTTGAATACTTGTTCTTAATCAGTTATAATGTAATTAATTACACTCATGTAACGTTCTCAAAGTTAAAAAAAAATTAACAAAAATAAATATTTTATTAGTAATGTCTGGAAATGATAATGCGAGTAGATAAATTGAAGAACAGCAAAAAATGGTATTGCATATTCACCCTCCATCTGGTTTTATCTCCAGTGATGGATTATTAAAAAAAAGTGTGCGTGCATCTAATATGCGTTTGCAAAATTTGTTTATTATTTATTTTTCAGACTGAGTTTGAGAGAGATGGAGTGTGCGTTCGTGTGAGAGATAGCAAAAAAGTGAGTGTGAGTGTGTGTGTGTGTGAGTGAGTGAGAGTGATAGTGTGTGATACATGGAGGTATAAAGATTAGATACAAATAAGTATAATATAAAGGTTAGATTATCTGTGTACGTGTACGAGTACACGTCTAATACGTGCTATTCGTGAATTTTTAATATTAAAACCGGAAATAATCCGAAGCTGAAAATAGGTCAGGCTATTTGAGAGAGGTCTTGGTTGCCGCCAAAGTGAAAAAAAAAGAAAAGAAATTATTTCGTTGCCTGCCATCAATTCCAATAATGTTCTTTTTTTCCCTGAGGTTAAGGTGTTAACATCTTGGTGAGGAATTCATCCTCGTATGCTAGCGTTCGGAGCACTTAAAAATCCAGTTTCGAAAATATTTAATATAGACCGAGGGGGAGAAGGAACAGACAACCCGTAAAGAGAAAGAAAAAGAGTGGTGAGAGAGTAACAGAGAGATGGGGAGGGAGGGAGAGAAACGGAGAGAGAGAAAGAGAGAGAGAGAGAGAGAGAGAGAGAGAGAGAGAGAGAGAGAGAGAGAGAGAGAGAGAGACAGGAAGAATGAGAGAGAGAGAGAGCGAGAGGAAGAATGAGAGAGAGAGAGAAAGAGAGAGAGAGAGAGAAAGAGAGAGAGAGCGGCAGGAAGAATGAGAGAGAGAGAGAGAGCGAGAGGAAGAATGAGAGAATGAGAGAGAGAGAGAGAGAGAGAGAGAGAGACAGTCAGAGAGAAAGAGGGAAAAGAGAAAGGGAGAAAGAGAAAGAGGGAAAAAGAAAAAGAGAAAGAGAGAGAGAGGGAGGGAGAAGATGAATGCACGAAAAAGAATGACATAGAGAGTGTGTGTGACAGAGGAAGAAAGAGTGACAAAAAGAGAGAAAGAGAGAGAGAGAGAGAAAAAAGAAAGAAAAGAAAGTGACAGAGGAAGAAGGTGACAACGAAAGGGAGTGTGGGAGAGGAAGAAAGAGTTACGACAGAGAGAGAGAGAGAGAGAGAGAGAGAGAGTGATTACGACAGAGTATATAAAAGAGAGTGAGAGAGTAACAAAGACAGATAGAGAAAGAGAGAGTGATTAACACAGAGTATATCAACGCAAAGAAAATGCCACAGAGAGCAAGAGAAAAAGAAGGAGAGAGAGAGAAAGAGAGAGGATAAAGACAGAGTATATCAACGAGAGTGAGAGTGACAAAGATAGATAGATAAATAGATAGGTAGATAGAGATAGAGAGAGTAATAAAGAGAGAGCGAGAGAGAGTGATAAAGACAGAGTATTTGAAAGAGAGTGTGAGAGTGACAAAGATAGATAGATAGATAGATAGATAGATAGATATATATAGATAGATAGATAGAAAGAGAGAGAGAGACAAGTAGAGAGATATATCAAACAGAGTGAGAGTTAGAGACCAAGGGAGAAAAATATTAACAAAGAGAGAGCTGAAGTGACAAAGATAGATAGATAGAAAGAGAAAGAGGAAGAGAGAAAGTGAGAGAGAGAGTGAATGGCAAAGATAGAGGGGGTGAGAGTGACAAAACACAATGAGATTGTCAATGGAATGAGGGTGAGAGTGTAATAGAGAGAGAAGTGAGAGACAAAGGTAAACACAGAGAGAGAATGTCAAATAGAGTGAGAATGAGGGAAAAAGAGATAAATAGTAACAAAAAGAGAGAGAGAGAGAGCCAGGAAAGAGAGAGACATCGTTAAAATAATCTGTATGTTTGTACATAGAAAGATATGAGTAAGTGAGGAAGGTAGGTAACATTATGTTATGCTTCTTTCTTTTAACAATATTTCCATAATTCTCACTTATTAGCTTCTTACTCCAAAATTGAAACGAAAATGATTGAAACTCTTTTATGGCAAAAATATCCATGAAATAATTGTTTATTCTTTCAATCGAAGAAGCAGACTAATTAAAACAGATAATTCCACGTTGTCCAAATGTATACATTTCATTGTTACTAATAAAGTATGTCAATCAATGTTCTTGATTGAATTTGCTTTCGTGTGTACGGTAGTTTTTTATTTTTTTATTTTTTTATTATTATTTTTTTTTTTAATAATTCTTCTCTTACGGTAGAAAGTTATCTAAACGGATAGCGATCTACTGGATAAAAGGATTTTGCTTGTTTGATTGTGACAACGTTCAAGGCTCATTTTTAGACCAGTTTTTTTAAAGGATTTTTTTGGTCCACATGGCCAAGATCACATATGTGCTTTCAACTTTTAGACCGAGAATGGAAGGAAAATAAATGAGAAATGTTCATTTTTATCCTGAAAGGTGGTTTTCTTTTTGATTGGAGAAAGAGAGTGTGTTAGTGTGTGTATGTGAGTGAGAGTGAGAGTGAGTGAGTGAAAGAGAGGGAGGGAGAGGGAGGGAGAGAGAGAGATAGAGAAAATGACAAAGACCGTGAGAGTGATACAGCAACAAAGAATGAGAAGAAGAAAGAGTTACAAGAGAGAGAGAGAGAGAGAGAGAGAGAGAGAGAGAGAGAGAGAGAGAGAGAGAGAGAGAGAGAAATAGAATGAGAGTGATAGGGTGACAGAAGAAGATTGATTGATTAACGATTTATTTACTGAAATACATGCTAAATTTAGGTTTCTAGGACCTTTCTTACACTTAACGTGTAATTATAATTATAATTTTTGTTTATAGTCGAATCAGACTTAAAATCAACATAACAAATTATTGTAACATCAACAATAAAGTAAACGATTAAAGAGAGAGTAAGTTAAACTTGTAAGCTATATTTTTCAACAGAGCATATTATCATTGAACAAAATGGCAAGAATAAATAGACTTTGGCTAAGTAGTGTTAAAGACAAATAACTCATATTTTATAGTAATACAAGTTATATGAACAAAACTGGGTATAATTTTTTCGTAAGATTCTTAAAAACTTGATTAAAGAGAGGGAAAGAGTAAAAAAGAAAGAAAGAAAGAGTTTGAGAGAGTGATAAATTTTCTTCCGAATTTTCGCTACATTTTTAAGAATTGTGCAACTGGGAAATATAAAAGTTTGGGTGTGTGAGACCGGCCGGTCTTAAACGCTTAATTTTCCCAGTATCTGGCCAAATTTTTTAAATTACTTTTTGTTTAAAACAGGCCCGTCAAGTCGAGCCTATCGTATAATAACAATAATAATAATAGATGTATTACTGAGGTAATATAAGACACTATTCTGGGGTCGAAAGGACTTTGATCCAAGACGGGGCAAATAACTAAAGTCAAATTCACCAAATTCAATTGATAAATCCCCCGATTTTCCTCAAGCCGGTCGTTACCTGAGGACGAAACCCGTCTATAATTAAAATATGGTAACGTCGAGAGGATTTTGGCAGGTGAAAGTTCTCGGAGACCGTAGGAGACTTTCTCATAGGATCGGATCGGAATTAAAAGGATTGACGGATTAAAAGTCCATCGGAAATGGAAAAAACTCAACCGGCCGGCATGAATTCTGAATAGAGATGTTTGGAAATTTTATGGATTAAAAGGGACGTAGGATTAAGGGGAAATAGATGCCCATCCATCGCATATCGGTTAAAAGGATATTTTTGTAAAGAAGGTTATTTAAAGCTAGATAAAAGGAGTTTTTTGTTTAGTGTGATTTATCACTCCATCTCATTGAGAGTGTTCAATGAGTGAAAATACGAGTGACGACCTGTTGTTGAGGTTGTAATAAGCTAGAGTTGTAAAATATGTTTTGTTAATAAAATCGTGGACTTACCATTTCCCTGAGCGCGTAGGGCGGCAGAAGTTCGTTCTGAGGGTGGTAGTTGACATAGGTGCCGGTGAATTTGACACATACGGCTTGGACACAGGCGTAGCAGTCGGGAGGGCAGAGAGAATCACAGAGGCAGCAGCATGACATCTGACAGGAGCAGAGGTGCGAATGGAAGGACAGAGTCCTCGCACAAGTTGCAGCGAGGGGCGTTGGTGTCATAATCGGCTGGCTCGGGGCTGGAGGCTTGGCGATGACCGGGCACAGGGTCATGACGGGCAGTTGGATGGAGCTGCCCGTCTCTCTGAGGCAGAACATGTCCAAGTCGAGGTGGTTGCCCGTCGTCTCATGATAGCTGTTGGAGGCCGGCGGTTTCGAGACGCCGTTCGTGAAACTGAAAGACCTTGGCCGGGACGAGCTCGAACCGCTGAGCATGTAATTTTCCGAGTCGATTTTCAAAACGCGCGGAGGCAATAGGGACGTTTTCCCCTCGCCGCTCATCTTCTGGGTGCATCCTTCTTCGTACGAGGAGCTGTCTTTTTTCGAACGTTCTTTGCTCGGCAACATTTTCGCCCGTGCGACACGGTATTAGGTTATCAGGGAGTCGTTTTCTTCCTCGTCGTTTGAAGGGGGTAACTTTTCGTCGAGCTCACATGGGTACAAATCGTTTTCCATCATGCTCCGATGAGGAGGAGGAGGCATCGTCTCGAGACGGAATCAAAGGTCGCCTCCGAACGTCAATCGACCTCTCGTCCCTCGTCGGCGGATTTTCGGATTCCGCCTTCTTTCCCCGGGGTTCGCGACACTCCGCACCGTCCGACACACGCTTCGCCCGTTAATAGGCGTCAAAATCGGCGACGTGACTCCCGTGAACGAGACGGCCACCGACACATAACCGATCGCAGTACAGATGGAGGACGGAGACAGCCATTGGCCCGACCGAGTCGACCTCGTACAAACCACCTTTATCAAATATTTACAACCGGTTTCGATTTGTTTTCCGACCAGAGCACCTCTCCACTACCCCGTCATATCGTTACAGAACCGACACGGTCCGACTAAGAATAAAACTCGACAAAACCCATAAATACGTATGTAAATAAAGGAGGGCTCTGCTCGGAACAGCTGTTTAACTATTAAAGCGCTCCCTCTGCCGAGTCGGACCCTTCGGACTGGCCGGAGCGATTCCGGGACCGGTGGACGAAGGAAAACGCAAAATAATAACGGCCGACGATAAAACGAAACTTACGATTAAATCGCCTGGTCTCGTTGTCCGTCTTTCGACGAGGATCGCTTCTGACGGTCGGCTGACGTTCGATTTGCGAGGCCGTGCGGCGATCCGCATGAGCCACTGTTCAAACCAGAGAGTCGCGCATGCTTTCGCCGGCCCGGCTCCGTTTCCTCCTCACTCATCACTCCTCACAGCCGCGCTTCATTTCAAACTCAAATCCTACATCAGGAGGTTTTATTTATCTATTTTATTAACAAGATTACATCCAACAAACTATTCGTTTATCTAAAAAATTAGCCCAAACAAGGACAAGGCCCCAACAGAAAACAGACAAATACATAATTCTTTTTCTCTGTTATAACTATGTAAACAATTATCAAAAAAAGATCATGTTATTATTTTCTTATAAATATAATTTAATTTTTTGAAATTTTCTATTTTTTCTTATGTTTGTTTTGTATCAAAGTTTATTTTTTTTATTTGTATTACTTTCTTTGCTTTTTTAAGAAAAATCAAAAAGCTTGAGAGTATTAAAATTTGTCAGGAAAGGATGTCAGGCTTGCCTTCTTCAAGAAGATGACATTTTGAATATTTACTTTAATTTTTAGGAACTTTTCCTTTTTGCTACGTTCGTTTTATATCAAAGATTTTTTTCTTTTACTTTGTATTACTTTCTTTGCTTTTTAAGGAAAACCAAAAAGCTTGAGAGTAGTAAATCTGTCAGGAAACGTTGTCAAACTTCATTCTTCAAAATGATGACATTTTGAACATTTAATTTAATTTTTTCAAACTTTTAATTTTTCATGTTCGTTTTGTTATCAAAGAGTTTTTTGATATGCACTGTAGTGCTTCTTTTGCTTAAGAAAAAAATTGAAAACATTTGAAAATTTAATTTTTCTAAACTTTTTATTTTTTTATGCTCATTTTGTACCAGAGGGCTTCTTTACTTCTTGTATTACTTCATTTATTTTTAAGAAAAAGCAAAAAGCTTAAGAGTAGTAAAATTTGCCAGGAAACGATGACAGGCTGCATTCTTCAAGCGATGATATTTTGAACATTTAATTTAATTTTTTGAAACTTTTTATTTTATCTTATGCTCATTTTGTACCAAAGAGTTTTTTCATACTCTGTATTACTTTTTTCCCTTTTTTCTAAAAAAAAGCTTAAGAGTAGTAAAATTCCTAAAATTTTACACAAGGAAAAACAAAAGGCTTTAAAAAATTAAATTGAATGGTCAAAATAAGGGCTAAAACCAAAGAATTTTTTTTTTAATTTTTCTTATATTTATTTTGCACCAAAGTGTCTTTTTTGTTTAATATGTATTATTTTATTTAGTTTTCTAGAAAACCAAAAGGCTTGTGGGCAGAAATCTGTCAGAACACGATGTCAGGCTTCATTCTTCAAAAAGATGACATTTTAAACATTTAATTTAATTTTTTGAAACTTTATCTTTTCCTATGTACACTGTAGTGCTTCTTTTGCTTAAGAAAAAAATTGAAAACATTTCAAAATTTAATTTTTCTAAACTTTTTATTTGTTTATGCTCATTTTGTACCAAAGGGCTTTTTTACTTTGTATTACTTCATTTATTGTTAAGAAAAAGCAAAAAGCTTAAGAGTAGTAACATCTGTCAGGAAACGATGTCAGGCTTGCATTCTTCAAGAAGTTGACATTTTGAACATTTAATTTTTAAATTAAAGGGGAAAATTCAAGGAAACTCTCTGTGTTATAATCCAAGAAGGGCTAAAAATCACAGGAGATTGGTGTAAAACGGCTAACGTAGGAGTCAACCCTAATAAAACAACCATAGTCGTTTTTACACGTAAAAGAAAATTTGATAACATGAATAACACTCAATAATACTGTGATAGAGAAATCAAAAAAGAGGTCAAATATCTGGGTGTAACACTAGATAAAACACTGATGTTTAAGAGATATATTAGCTCCACCATCATGAAGGCAAGATGAACTTTGATGTGAAAAAGAATAGCAGGGAAAAACTGGGGATGTAGACCAGAAACACTGCTTTGGACCATTGTGGTACCATTCCTACATACAGAGCCATAGCTTGGGCCGATATCGCAGAACAAATAACAAAAAGAAAAGAACCCACAAAAATACAGACTTGCTTGCATCTGAATACGGGAGCGATGGGAATATGTACCACAGTTGGTGTGGAAAAGATAGTGGGATTAATTTGCCTACTCCACATGATAATGAGGCCAGCATAGAAAACTATTATTAGTATTATTAAAGAGAAACCTCCAACAGGAATAAAACTAAAATGGAGAGATAGCAACAAAATAATGAATGACCATCCGATACTCATGGCTCCAAGGGACGACATGAACAGGATGTTTGAATTTAATCAAAACTTCCAAATAAACTTACGTACCAAAAAAGAATGGTAACAAGAGGAAACACCTCCTTTAAGAACAGCATCAAATTTTGGAACACAGATGGATCTAGAACACAAGGTACAGGGGTAGGAGTATTCAGTCCTGAAACCAAGTACTCTCTCTACCATGGTTACATGGTCACTACATCCCATACACCAGTATCTTCCAAGCTGAGTTCTATGCAATTGAGAGATGTACTCATATCACTTTGAATAAAGCAGCCATCAAAGCACTAAGCTCAAACATCATTAGTGCATAATGGTGTTGAACTGCAATGCCAAATTAAATATATTAGGTATTCAGAATAAAGTCAGCCTCTGCTGGGTCCCAGGACACATGGGAGTAGAAGGCAAGGAGAAAGCGAACACCCTTGCAAGAAAAGGAGGTGCTATACCGCTGATAGCACCTGATCCCTTCTGTGGCATAGGAACCCACACTATTAACGAGTATCTCAGACAGAAGGATAAAAAGAAAATGAGGGAACAATGGAACTCACTCATTGGACACAAACAATCTAAGAACTTCCTAACAAATTTCGGAAGGAAAAAAGTAATAGAATAATATCAAAAAGGAAGGAGGAAAAAAACTGTTTAATAAACGTGACCATTCATATACAAATAAATATCAATACTACTTAAAATTATCGACGGTTTATAGTATTGTTTCATTATGGGATTTTAAATTAATTATATCACATGTGACAGTCTCATCTAAAAAAGATGTTTAGAGCATGATTCTCATTTCAATTTATACCAAAATAATTGATTGTATTCAATTTATTTTAAAAAAGGATGAAAAAAAACTGTTGGAAATATCTGTATAGGTAAAGAATTTTTAACTATATTTAAATGAAGTATTGTATAATTATTGTCGTTCATTTATTAAATAGCTGACATAGGGAAATATTTAAAATGTAAACCTGCAAAATAGTGAATTCTTTGTTGTTTATGTGCTTAAAGCCATCTCATGTTAAAATTAATCAAATCTAGTATTAATATTACTAATAATAACTGAAAATAAAAATATACCAATAATCAATATTTTTAAAAAAATTGGTTATTTATTAACTATAGTTTTTTTTAAATGTTTTTCAGAATTTATACTGTTGATATGGAAAGAAGCATGAGCTTTAAATTGTGATCAATTATTATTTATTTCAAGTATGAAGATGGCGATAAAAAACGGACAAAAATCATACAGATTTGAGTGTTGTAAAATGAAACACAGACCTTTGTTACCATTTTAGTAAAAGGCAACAAATGTAATTACATTTTTTCCTGGTCGATTGAATAATAAATTTATGTCATAACTGTACACAACTTTTAAATGATTAGAAATAATTTATATAAGTCTTTCAATAGCTTTTTCAACCATTTTAATGAGAATATGAGTGAATTTTAAATAAATACAGATGCGAGTATGATTAATAAAATTAATGAGTAATGTGGAACAGGTTAATTAAGCTTTCACAATAATTTTATTAATTGAGTTGGTCAAATTTCTAAGGAACGCCTAATATAATTCACATGTTTACATTTCAAAACACTACCGTTTTTTGTTTTTTTTAATCAGTTCTCTCATTTTGTACTTCTGCAGAAAAAGTTCAGTAGACCTTTTGAATAAAGAGTAAATAAATTAAATTTAAATATAAATTTATCATAATATATAAAGTAATGTCTAAATTAAGTAGTATTTAAAAAAGTCTTGACAGATTTATGCAAAAACAATAGAATAACTTGTCACTCACTTTCTCAGCTTCACGGAAAAACATTGAATCATGTTTTTGTTTCTGCAATGAACTTTTTCCCTTACTGAAAATCGATCTTATTGAACCGAGGACTTATCCTTAACCCATGAATTGATGGATCTATGTTTTTGGATAGGTGTCCTTCAGGCCTGAGCGTTTCCTCTTGCAGGAGTACGAATCTCAGCCTGCAGCCTTTGCAACAACAGAAGACATATTCTGCCTTTTCTTCCTGGCAATATTTTCATATGCATGTTGCTGCTGTGACGAGCTTATATCCCACTGCAGTCTGCAGCCAGCCAGAAGTCCTACTACAACCTAGGTTTCGTAGTTATGCCGTTAGTTTCTGCAGTCTTTTAATTAATTTTTTTGCCCCTATCCTAGAATAAATTTCTGTTTAATTGTCTTATTTTTAACCGATTATCTAATAGATGTTTTTTTAACAATTTGGCCACAAAAGGGTTCAGGGCCGATGAGTGTCCTGATTGAACTTGTCTTTACCAATTTATCAGCCTCGTTGTTGCTGCTCTGCCCTGTATGACCTGATCAGATAAATGTAATTTTGTTGTTATGAAAGTCTGTCTTGTTACAATCCCAAATGGCTCTGAACTTTACTACCGATGCCATCCAAATAGATCTACCCGGCACAGTCCAAACCCAACCCATGTGAACTCCCTGGTAATCAGCCCAAAAATGATGGCCACTTGGATTTGCATTCCCGATTCAATTCTTCTTTGTTGTTTTTCTATTGAGAAACGTACAAATGAGCATATCAAGGCAAACACAATATTCAATAAAATTCATCAGTTCTTTACCAAGGAATAATGTATGTTTATTGATTAAGTGCAACTGCCAAAATTAAAAGTGTATGCTTCATAACCACAATTTATTAGCATTTTTAAATTAGAATTACTCTACAAAGTGAATTATTTACCTTACTCTAATAAGTAATAATAATTCTTTGAGAATCTCTAAAGGAAAACATTTCAAAACTTATCTGGAACTGTCTCAATACCTTTTATAAACTGTGATCTTAAAAAAAAAAAAAAAAAACACTAAAGTGCTAGGTCATGAGAGAATGAGTCAAAAAGAAGATATATTATTAAAAAGGGAGCCTCGGAACAACACAGGCCGATTTGTGGCATAAACTACAGCCACATTACAAAAAAACTGGACGATTGGGTAGCTAAAGAACACAGCAAATACTGGGGAATGTAAACGTAGGATTTCCTCTCCCATGCATAGGCCTTTGCAACTGACAGAGCATCCACCGTTTCTTCTTCTTTCTGGCAATGTCTGCACCTTGTTTCTGCTGCCCTGTCAGCAGCTCAATTATTATTCTAGCCGTAGCACATCTTAGATTTAGATTTAGTAGTTCTGCTTATAGTTTCTGTGAGGAAAGGATTCTCATTTAGATATGCAAACTGCGACCAGTATTGGTCTATTGTGCATCCTCCTCGTTAAGACATTACTAGATCCGAATGTTTTTTCCAAATACTCATTTTTGTTTCCCTCAGGCCCGGGCTTTTCCTCTTCCAGGAGAAGGAATCTCAGCCTACAAAACCTTTGTACCAACAGAGAACTTGTTCCACTGGAAACACCAACATACCTACTAACAAACTGTAGTGCTACACTTGTCCACAGAAGGTTTTGTAATTATTTAACAAATTGAAGGAAATGTAATTTTTGCTATGAAAGTACAGCTTATGTTAAAAAAAGGTTAATTGTTTCCAGGGTTGAGAGGTTTTTGAGAAAACCAGGAGGGCAACTAGCAAGTTGACACCCTGTGTAGCAGTATCTTTGTTATTCACATGCTGGTTCAATTGCCATTCTATAAGAATCATCTGCTACAGCCTAAAAATAATAAACAAAAAATATATATATGCAAAAATAATTATTTGTAAAATATGCATGATATTTGATGTATTCTATACAACATTGACTTGATAAAATAAAATAAATAAAACAATTTAGGGTTTTTATTGACTAATTCTAAATATTTGAATACTAATATCTGTGTGGCCTTTATTTGTATTGTAGTATAACAGTTGGCATGCAAACTAAAACAAAAAACATATGTATATATATTATACATAACATACTACTAACTAATAAACAAGCTATGCAAATTCAGCTAACTTTTAGTTCAGGAATCCTTTTTCTGCTCGAATATCGCTAATGTTACTGGATGTACAGTTCATGATACCACCTTTGCAAAAAGAAACCTGTTCGGTCATACCTCCCTGGTTACTACCAAAACCAAAAGTAATATTGACTCTAAATATGCATAATAAAAATGACACTCCTAGCTATATATATAAACAAGAATTCTTAACTATTAAGAGTAAGCTACCCTCAGCAACATACGTATATTCGGATGGCTCTAAAGGCCCCCATGGGGTGGGAGCAGCTTGTATAGTTGGAGATGGAAAATATTTATTTTCGTTAAACTCAATAGCGAGTAACTATACAGCTGAAATGACGGCAATAATCAAATCNAAAAAAAAAACTTTAAACAAAAATTAAATAAATAAGCAAGGACGTAACACACTATAACAAAAATTAGTGAAAATATTAAGTATAGAATGAATTATATATATCTATAATGTAATCATAGAAGAGATTCAACTGCTGGAATTGGGCCTACTAATCAAATCCCTTGATGAACTAACACCAGTGGGCTATAAGTACAGAATGGGAACACAACAGCTCACAAACGGTGCAGTGTAATGTATACTCTTGACAAATACATCTACATCTACATAAAAAGATAAATATCCGCCAATGACAGTTTTTGACACTTTTGGTTTAGTGTCATTAAAAACTGATGGACATGTTCCCTCTGCTTATATCATTGCTCTGATTGCTATCAATACATGGAATCATTATTTTGACTGAAAATTAAAGCCATCCAACTTCCATGTTCACATGTCAAGTGGCCGCTCAATATTGCATCCAAAGAAATAAATTTGAAAAAAAAAATTTATTAATTTTTTAGTAATGCATTGGGTAAATTAAGACAACCCTTTCAGTACGGTCAGCACTCGTTCCCCAAGTGAGGTAAGAGCGTCATATCAGACTCTATTCTCGACAATTTTAGATTCAAGTTCAAAGAAGCAATGTGCTGTAAAAGTGAAGAGACTTGAGCAAGACATCACACTCGTAGTACCTAGTAAAGGTGGGGGAGAGCGTGATGGCAGGCTCTCAGTTGGTCACTGGGGGTAGCAAGAGAGAACAGTACTCTAAAGGGTTTTGTAAAGGACAAAAAAATTTCCTCCTATCTAACATTTGAACTCCATTAATAATTTAAAAATGATTCATGAAATCACAACACAAAGCTGTTATATAACAAATTTATTTGCAGGTAAACTGCTTATTTAAATAATTTTTGAATCTACAAAAAATAAATTTTCTATAATTGTATCCATTACAATTGTTTAAATAATCTATTTTTCAGTTAAGTCTAGCACATTATTAATAAGTTCTATCGAATTTCCTTGATGTCTGTTGCATTATAAAATCACCAGTCACACAATCGTTCACACACTGATGTACAATTGTTGTAACAAATTCACAAATATAAAAAACTGTATTATTCTATTAAAAATAAATTCTTCACATTACAACAATAACCTTTGTTGTATTTCTTTAATTATTACCGTCATAATTGATTCATTATTTGCTATTAAACTCATGAAAAATATTGTGAAAATAGTTTTGTAAATACTAAACAACATATCTTAGTACCTCCTACTTACATTATGTAATTGTTACAACTTTCTTCAAGCATAATTTCTCTATAAAAATATACAATAAGCTTGCATTTGCTCTAACCGACAATAAAAATGTCTGTAAAAATTAACGTAAGTTTGAAAATATTTAAATATACTCTTAAAGGGTACTACTTTACAATTTTGGTTTTTGTATAACAGTCCAACTTTTGACAACAAATTTGTGATATTTAATTTGCCAAAAGGGCAATCATTACGATGTTTACAACTGGCATTAATTAAACAAAACGTAATAAACATGACGCATCAATTAAAAGCATTGAAATGTACAGTTGTGTTTTAAATATCAGTTTGTACTTGGATCATACTTATAAGTGTGATTTTATTCTTATGTTTTAATCAAACATGGCCAGGAAAAGAGAACCAAGGAAAAAGTCTTAAAATTATCTGTTTATAAAAAATTTATAAAAGCAAATGTTTAACACAGCCATACCTCCTCATATAACAGTTATTGTAAAGGAAAAATGTCAGCTCATAAATAAATAGAAAAAAAAACCACATGAGTATAAGTAAAACTGGGCTGTTATTAAAATTGTCTTAGTTTATAGACTGAACAAAAATTAATTATCATATTTTCCATTTTTATCCTATTTTCCCGACCCTCGTAAAAATTTACAACTGTTGGGATGATGGATCAAATAAACATTCGGATAAAATATCACATTTTTTTTTTTTCAAATACAAAATAAGACACCGAGCCAGGGTCACAAAATTAACTTTTAAAGAAAGTATCCTGAGCTAGGCAGAAAATAAATATTTAGCAAGTAGTTTATTCTAAATGAATTAAAGTAACATATGAGAATAATATAACAACTACAAAAAAAGATTAAAAGTTACAAAAAAAAGAAGTGATGTTTCAACAAGTACTTTTGCAATGCACATTGCAAAAAGCTTAAAAGTCTGTAGAAATATTTTTTTAACTTATTTAAAACTAAATAATTCAGTTACATTTTTTCAATATGGAACATAGTTAAAAAAAATAAAAAAATAGAAATATGAATTGAAAAAAGAAAAATAATTATGACTAAAGGTTTTTTAAACTTTTAAATAGTAATATAACAATTTTCATTGATGACTAGAGTTCTAAATAAATTAATGTAAACACCATATAATATGTACTTGTTTTCTTAATGAACAAATGTTGGGGGTCTTAAAAATAATAGTAATAACAATAAATAAAGTCACATTTTACTATTGTAACTACTTTTGCAATCTCCTGCCAGTTATTTATTGTAAATTGCAGCTGGACTGCGAGAAAGCTCAACTCTACATGAGTGCAGATTTGAGCTTATATCAGTAATCAGTAATTAATGTTTCATATATTGCATTACCAAAAGTAGCCATAGGAAAAAAACCACATCTGAAAAAATAACCCAAAAATAAATTCTAATTGCTTAGAAAATTATTTAACAGAGTTGTTGAGATTCTTTTTTTTTATGTGAGCTTCGAGATTTTATTGTCCTTTCTGAAGAAAAAAATGGGTTGTTTTATTATAAAAATAATTCTCTAACAATTTAAAATGATAAAATATTCAATCTGGATATACAGCAGTCTTGTTATCCATGGTGATGCTTGGTATGTACTATAGAGAATAGGGAACACCTCATATTTCAGGCTTCCATTAATTTTTTTCCATATGTATACCAGTTGAACTTACATACACATATTTCAGGGTTCATAAATACGAAAAAATTATTAGTAACCTAAAATAGATAAAACTCAACAGGGGGAGGGCAACCATGGATAACGAGAGTCTACTGTAATTGACTTTAAACTGTAATCATACTTGAATCGTCAAAAAAACCTGGCGAGGAGTTGTGAAAATTTCTGAATAATTATTATCATAATTTGAACATTATATTCACACACAAAAATTACAGACCATCTAAAAAATGCAAAACGTCTGTACTTAAATTAAAAATTGAAGTGGAAAATAACTCGGGGAAAAAATTTTATAATTGCAAAAAGACTGTTCAATGAGATCAAAAAAATGTCAGTAACGTTTTTTGGTTTTATCACTTCCTCATGATAAACAGATCCAAAAATGTGAAACTTTCCCACCATTAAAGAAAACAGAGTACTTAATTTAAGTGGTTAAAGGTTTGATAATACTGTCATATAATATTGTCACCATTGACCAAAAACCTAGAAAATGGTTAAATATTGATTTGATATACAATGTCTTAAATAAAGAAATACAATAGTAAATAGAAAACAAAGAATAAAAGTAAATATTAATAGTAATAATAAAAACAATTGTATATACCTAATGATAATTATAACGAAAAGGCTCATTTGGTTTTATTTATGGAAAGTGAATATTTACAGCTTTAACCTACATTGCATTTTAAAAATTTAGGTTTACAATATAAAATAGATAAACATTTGCACTCATGCAAAAAAATTCTTTTTTACAATGGTATATTTACCTTTCTGAAGGCACATATACGTTTTTCTGTAAAACAACATATCTACATACATTACTTATGCAATGATTTGTTATCAGTGAAAGACACGGCTGGTGATTTACTGTATGATTATCATTTAACACTACTCTAAAGTTTACAACTTAGCAAATCCTGCAAAAATGTTTCAAAAATGATTGCGTTTTAAGTTATTTATTGATGATATTATATCAGCAAAGTAAAGAAATAATTAAATAAAACTTATGATATGCTACTTTATCATACACTAAAGACAGTGTGCTCTTTTACAGATAACAATTACTTACATTGAGTAAGTAAATTTTATCAACAAAAATTATATTTTATATAAAAAAATGTTCATCATAATGAAAATAAACTTTTTTATGCTATAAATGTGTCAAATGTATCAATATGTAAAATGAGAAATGCTAGATGAGAAACCTATTTACACCTGCTGGACACTCTTACAATTTGAAATATTTAGTTATTCATACTAGATACTTCATTGCTATGAGTGTGAGAAGGTAAGGTGGTCAAAAAGGTCTGAGTGGTTACAATGGTTTCAGTTGATGTAACTAAATCATCTAACTTCTCTACTTGTCCTTTGCTCTGTATATCTTTATGCGTTGTCCCTGAACTTTTATGATGTTCAGATTTCGTATATACATTGCTTGCACCGATTTTATGGTAACTATGCTTAGCCGCAGTGTGAGATTTATTTGAATCACTGCTGTATTTCCTTGAGACCTCTTTTTTTGAGTCTTTTTGCGAATGTTCTTTGCCCTTTTCTGCTCTCGCTTCGTGTTTCTTTAAAGACGCACTTTCTCTTCCCTTCGACCTACTTTTACGCTCACGGTCTGATTCTCCGACATCGGCTTTTGTCTTTTTGGAATGATGACTACCGGCCGAAGTATGAGATTTTGACTTTCTATTTTCTGAGTTGTTATGATAGTGTGATGATTCCCTGTGTGATAAACTTGTAGAGTGACGATTGGATGATGACGAGGTGGCACACTTGGATTTTTCCGCATTTGTACTACACTTTTTTTCTCTGTACACATTAGAGTTAACGTCTGCTGCAATTCTGGAGTGCTTCAGGTTTGTTTGCTGCTGGTTTTCAACTTTTGGATAATACTGCTCCAATCTCACATGCCATGCTGTAAAATAAAAAATCAAATAAATTTTCTATAACTTGGTTTTAAAAAAATTCACACAGAAAACTTCAATATAAACTGCGCCCCTCAACATGATTGCAAATTTAGTTACACTGTAACATGGCAGCATTAGTTTTTCAAAACTAATAGATAATTAAACAAAATAATGGCTTACAACATGTAAAGAAATGTTGGTCAATGTGTGTCCCTGTTAACTGAAGGGTGCCATTCCCTGGCTCCATGTAAGGGAGCGCTTAGGAATGGCACTTTTTGTGTGTGTGTGAGTGTGGCTTCATCATTACGTGACATAAGACAGTTGGAAAGAAGAACCAAAGGCATTCCACACCGAATGGGAAGCAGAGATGGAGGCTATGCATATTTAACTTTAATTTGGCCTACGTCTTGTCTGAGGGATGTGCATGTGCTGCCTCCATTCAAATCCCTCCAGAAGAGGGTTTAATTCAACCCAGATTTCCAGCCAGTGTGGACCCCGAGAGCCCCGGCCCGCTGCCAGGCCACCCCACAAACTCTGGCTCTAAAAATTTTAATGTAAACATAAACATTTTAAATATATCTTTGAAGAAGATTTCAATAGGTTTAAAAAAAATTATAGGTAGAGCAAATGAAAAAAAATTAGCTCATTGGAAGCTAAAAGGGAATACCACCTACGTGAATTGTGCTCGTAGTGTGCTGCTCCCTACACTACAGGCTATATCAATACCAAAATAAGTATAGATTTTTTTAAAGATTGTTGAACTTTACTGATTATTTAAAAACAAATGGCAACGTTCTTTTCAATGAAAATTAATAGTAACTGATTTTAGAATAAGAAAGATATAAAAAACAATGTTAACATGTTATTAAGAGTCCATGGCATCTGCTAAATCAAAGTATACTTGAATCTAGCCGTCAGATTGAACTTGCATTTTTTTTTTTTTTTTTTTTAATTAAAAGTAAGACTAGGTAGTAAAATCGGGATCCCAACTTCTGGATTTAACATATTCGTTATGGCACTGATTTGTAAAGACTCTCCTGAGATAGGTAAAAAAATTGGAATTTTTTTTTTTTCATTTTAAAAAATTTCCAAAAGGTCAAATCAAAAAACGGTCTTCATAGTAATGTTGACAAAGCGATATTAAAGACCTGTGACACCAATATGATTCCAAAATACCCCCAATACCTTACAACAAGCTTCGAAAGCGGGAGTTTTCAAGAAGAGGTGCGTCTTTTTGGAACGACATCTGTATACAGGGAAGGGTTTAGTGTATCGTTCCAGGAAAAACAACCATAACAAATATGTTAACCACTTCGATCCAGCCCCGTGATACTAAAAATGCAATAAAAAAGCATGATTAGAAGAAAATGGCAGCATCAGTGGATCTGACTTGTAGAAGAAGAGTCATTCTCACCCAATTAAGAATACGCCAGTAAGGTTGATACATAGACCCTTTCTTTTAGGCTATTTGTCCAGCATATAGAGAAAGGCTGCTTCATGTGTACCACATAATTAAAGGGTGACTTGAGGAAGAGGAAGCCTTTTTTGATTTTTCGAGGAAACAGGGTTGTTTTATTGTATATAGTACTGGTATTGTTTTGTGTCCCCTTGTGTGTTGTTAGTGAATGTATTTATCAGTGTGAATGTGTAGTATGAGAGGGCCGATGGTGGAATATTGAGTACCCCATTGACTCTCAATTAGAAATACCGAATACAGCATTGGGGGCTGAAATGACCTAGCTGTCAATAGTCCTTGGAGCCCAACCTCGGCTGGACGGATGAGACCGAGGTATGACCCCAGTTGATTCTTGACACCTGCCAGTAATTTACTGTAAACTAAAAAAGCTGAAATTACCAGCAGACTGCAAAAAGCAATAGGTTCAGCTTATATAAATCAGTAAAATGCATGAAAATAAAAATATTTCTTACCTGATATCAACTTTATTTAAATAACTCTATTCTTACCTATACTAGTAACAGCTGAAACTGTCCGAAACTGATGAATGATATTCCTTGGAAGGAAGTATATATCATCGTCACACAATGATATTCTAGCATATCTGATACCATCACGCCTTAGCTGGTTCAATTTGGCATCTTCAATCCATTGTACACACTAAAAATAAATAACTAGTTCAAAGCTCAGACTCAAATTATCCCAAAATGCAAAAGAGAAAAGAGCATTTAATTGAAACCGTCTAATCTGAGAGTTTTTAATTAAATTTTTATATGAAAAATTTGTTGACAAAACTGCACCATGAATAAAAAGAAATGAATGGTTTCAATAAGTACCTGTGAAATAGGAGGTTCGTGCAAGTCTAGCTGAAGTTTTTCAACCAGCTCGTTAAAATCAGCAGCATGGAATGCAACGACGTCTTTAGTTATTCGGGCACAACTGGATTTTTCTCCTCCTTTTACAGCTTTCAGGATTCCTGCAATTAATTTTCAAGCAATAACAAATTGAAAATGTTTGTTGACCAATTTAATATAAAATGAAAATATATATATCTCATAAAAGGTTAACAAAATTATATTCTGTCTATAGACTAATGTCAATTGAAACTGAAGGATAAAGGTGTTGATAAAATTTCAGTTTAGGGATGGTTAGGGATGGTTAGGGTNTTCTTTACAAGTTTACTACGTGTGTGCATGTGGTTTGCACGTGTGTTATAATTTACAAATTTGTAATTCTTACCCACAGCAGCTGTTGTCATTCTGTCAAGACCGTGGCCAACATGATCTGCATGAGCACGGGTTCTATCTTCAAACATATATTCTCTTGCTTCTGATGATCTTGGAAGATATTGAAGATTTCGAAGTTCGTTTATTCCAGTCCTACATTATACAAGTATAAAACTAAGTATCATTCATGAGATCAGGCAAGGTAAGTAATCATAATTTGTAATTCATAATAATCATATGTTACATCTAGATGGTATCATTAGATGTAATTTGAACCTAATTTAACCCATCACTCCTTAACCCAACAACTCCATCAAATCAACCTAATCCACCTAACTTAAAAATTTTACTTTTTTTTTCCTTTCCTTGATTCAAATCTAACCAGATCAATTTATATCATCTAATCCAACATAACCTAACCTTACCTAACCCATCACTATCACTAACCCAAACAACTCTATCAAATCAAATCTAATCAAAACTAACTTACATTAAAATTTTACTATTTTTCCTTTCCTTGATTCATATCTAACCAGATCAATTTAGATCAGCAAATCCAACATAACCTAACCTGCTACTAACCCTAACCCAAACAACTCTAGCTAATCAAAACTAACTTAAATTAAAATTTTACTATTTTTTTCCTTTCGTTGATTCAGATCTAACCAGATCAATTTAGATCATCAAAACACAAAGTAACCTTATCTGCCCCTAGCTCCAACCTCAACCTCTACCAAATAATCTAACCTCACTTAACTTAACCCGTCACAACCTAACCCCAACAACTCTATCAAATCAAACCTACCCAAACTAACTTAAAATTTTACAATTTTTTCCTTCACATTTAAATCATCTAACCCAACCTAACTTAAATTAAAATTTTACTATTTTTATTTTGAGTTGATTCAGATCTAACCAGTTCAATTAAAACCTTCGAACCCAATGTAACTTAACCTAACCTTAACCCAAACAACTCTACCTAATCAAACCTGACCCAACCTAACTTACTTAAAATTTTAATATACTTTCCTTTCCCAACCATCCCTAACCTAACACCAACTGTACCTAATATAACCTAACTCTAATCTACTTTTTTCTTTCCAAAAGGTAGATTGGGGATCCTGGCCTCATCCCCAATCTACCTTTTGGAAAGAAAAAAGTATATTTAAACTGAGAAGGCTGATCAATCACCAAAGAAAATATTAACTCTAATCTAATAACAACTTAATTTTACTATTTTTTCCTTCCCAGTTGCTTCAGATATCTTATAATGATATGTACAAAATTAAATGTTAATGTATTTAGGTTTATTCATATTTTGCATACAAAGAATAGGTTTGCTTGTAAAACTAAGGCATTTAAAAAGAAAAAGTTTATTAGATAATTCTAAAAAAACAATTCTTAGTTAAATGAAGAACAAAAAGTAAAAAACAAATAAACATGTACAATAAAAAACTTTTTCCCTTCAATATCAAGTATTTCCACCTTTAGCATGAATCAAAAGAAAAAAAGCTAAAAAAGATTTCTGATAAAATCCTGAGGAATTTTTTCCCATTCAACAAGAACAGTTGTTTCCAACTCTTCTAATGTTACGGCCTGGGATTGGGTTTCACCCTCTACTTGTCATTTAAGTTAAGTCCCAAATGTGGACTTCGAGCTGGCCTCATCAAGCACTCAATGCCAACCTCATTCAGATAGTCATCCACAATACGTGCTCTATGGGGCCTGGCATTATCCTGCATTAGCAAGTATCTCTCACCAATGTGGTGGGCAAATGGCACTACATGTTTTTCAATTATGTGTTGTAAGTACCTCTGTGAAGTTACAGAACTTCCTCTCAGAACAACCAATTAGGCGCAGGTGTCCAAGGAAATTCCACCCTAGGAAATCAATGATACACCATGGAATGCCACCTGAGGAACCAACTCTCACCTCTTCTGTAAAAAGAAGTCTTCCCCATTCTTCCAATGTCCAGTTCACATATTCCCGTGTGAGTTGAAGCCTGGCCATTGAGCCTTCTCCTAACAATCCTGGAGGAAATTGAAACATTTCGGACTTATCTTATCAGATTTATTATCTCATTTCCCGAAATGCTGCAGTTTTATAGAGCCTGATAAAGAATGAATCTCTTGTCCGTAGACCTAGGAAGACCGCCCTTCAATGTGATGCCCTGATTCTCTGAATCACCGGAGAACCCTTCCTATTGTTGAGTGATTTTCAGTCTCCTTGCAACTTAACCTGCCTGTAACCTTGCTCTAATAATGTTATGACCCTGACACTGCCATACTCACTCAAATGCCTGACTGGAGCCATTGAAAAAGGTTTAAGAATAAGAAAAATATCAAATGAAATCAACAATGTAAAAAAGATGAAGAAAAAGAGATGTTTAGGCGTAGCAGAATAGAAGGGCAAATGTGCAAATGGGATTAATAAGCACAAAAGTAAATAAACGAAGTATTATTTACTGTTTGTTTTGACTACTATAGATCCTAAACATATCTAACTAATTATAGAAAGATAATGGATTTAATTTTAAACTATATACATTGAGTGGTACATTTAGTTTGACCATCAGTCTAGTTAACTTCAGAAATTCTTTATCAATATAACCACATTATCACATTTAGAAAAAAATATTTTTTTTCAATAAAAAGTAAATATTAAATTTAAAACTCCCGCTCTTAATTTTCTCTTTATTTGACATAAAATGCCCAAACACTCACTCATAAGACTAATCGAACCAGAGTTTAAAAAGTTTCTCCTTAAATAAATATATAAAAATTTAAATGTTTATTTTTTTATTTAAATGTATAGATAATAGTTAGTCTACATGGAATGTCAATCGCTAAAAGAGAAATCAGTACTGACAATACATACCTCCGTCTTTTAAATGGAGATTTGAAGTCAGCAGTAGGAACTAACTGTTCACCAGGTCTTATCCATAAAATTGGTCCATCGTTCGATTCCTCTGGTGTTGCCATTTGGGCGACTGACAACGGCCCCCAAGGCATTGTCTATAAGCATAGCAGGTATTATTAACATGAAAGTAAATTATCATAATTAATCACCAGCATTGAATAAAAGAACTTAATTTGAATACCATTTTTAAGAAAATGTTTTCTTCCAGTTTTGACAGCAAGTCTGGGAAGTAACCACCAACTTCTTCAGTTACTGTTCCAACAAGGCTAATTTGATGCAAAGGACCATGCCTCACCGTCCCATATGCATAATTTTTATAAACCTATAATCAATTTAAAAAATGGTACTAAATAATAAAATGCAGTTTAACACAAATTGAAAATTTAAACATATATCATTGTTTATACCTACTAGCTTTAAAAATTACAAAATAAATTTTCTAAATATAACATGTGATATGAATGGATTAAAAATAAAATTGCAAGAGCTATAATAATATATACATATTAAAATTATTATGAAAAATTTAACTTTTAGTGAAAATCAGAGAATGTGAGTAAAGAAGTTTTTCCAAATGGCAGTAAAATGAAGTAAGTCAATTTATCCAAATAAACAAGGCCTCTACAAAACAAAACTATTATCTTATTCACAATCAAAAGTTGTATATCCAAAATAAATATCAAACGTTTATAAAATCGCCAACAAGGCAGTGAAAATAAACATACTTCTATAAAGGGCTGTCTTTTCAAATAATCAGCACATTCTTCATACAAATTGACATCCGTCTTAAAATTGGAATATTTAAAACAAATAAACCTACCATAGTAAATAGAAAAAATAGGTATGAATGCAGTAATAGAAACCTAGAAATAATCAAAATCATTCTTTTCCATACAATATAAAATGAAAGCTTGCTTCATGATTATTTGAAGATCGTGGGGCACTCTCAACACGACCCACAATAATGATACATCTACACAAAAATTAACACTTTCAGAGAGTACAAATACTTTGAGTCTAAAATTTCTAGCATTGTACAAAATTCAATTTTTTCACATCCTACATGTATTTGTATAATTTAAACAATGTTTATAAATCCCAAGCCCTGAAGATGATCTCAATAAAGATCAAAAAGTTGCCACGATAAATGTTTTTCTCATCTCACAATCTACAAATAATAATAATAATAATAGGTAATACTTTAAAAAAACAAAAAAATAATCCGATCACGTGATTCGTTTCATTATGTTGTAATGCATGAACAGTACGCTCTTGTTAATTTGAAACTTGATAATTCAAATTTCTTCATAATACTCCTCAGCATGTCACTTTGGTAATTGAAAAAATTTGTGTATTTTGTTACTCTCAGTAACACGAAATATTTTTCATTCTATAAATCGAAATGGTGCCATTCCCCTCTTTATAATTTGAACTTTTTCCTTGCAATATTCCTCTAAATTTTTACGTACAGTTTACCTCCTTGCATCCAGAAATTTCTTCTAATTTTGTCTTTCACTTTTGAAAACCATTTCAGCAAAGGATGCAAGACCATATTGAAACAAAAAATGTTTCATGATTTTTTTTTTAAATAACGCATAACTATGTTCAATATTACAGTTGATCTATTTTCACTTTTTCAATATTTTTATGATGTTTTATATATGTACAATAGTAAGAAGTTTTAGAAATGCATATCAACTCTTAATAATTTTATTTTCTTTTCTCTTGATAATTCGAACATATTGATAATTTAAATTAGTTTTGAGGTTTTAAGCATGCTTTTTGTGACATATCATTTCATTAAATGCTGAACACAATACTGCCACAAGGTATTTTTGGTGTATAGCGGAATTATTGTTATATTGGGATTTATCCATCCATAGACTATGATCTGTGTACAATTTAATTTTTAAACTGAGCACTTCCAGTGTTCAAAATTGCAAATCGTTTACACCAGACAATGCAGAAAAAAAATCTAGTTTAATAATTTAAAAAATAATTCAAAATAATTTGGTCAAAATTTTCAAATTTTTTGATAACTTTCAGTGCTCAAAATTACAAATCTTTTACACCAAATGTTGCCCACAAAATTCTAGTTTAATAAAAAATAATAATTTTTGCTCAAAATATTTATAAAAAAAAAAAAGGTTAACCTCTTCTGGAGCTCAAAATTGCAAGCCTTTTACTGATTAAAATCTGACAACAGGGTCTGCAATACAAGTGATTCTGAGGCTTACAAAAATTATATAACTTTTGAGCAGTTTAATTGATTTACTAACTGCAAAAGGTACTGAACAATCCACGGAAACTGAGGTAAAAACGACAACTGTATAAATACAAAACATTGCCAAGGCTTAAAATGTTTTTTATTTTAAAATGAAGATGTATGTGAGTGAGTAGAAACACAGTGTTTGACATGGTCAGTATGTTAATTTAAAAAATAAAATCTAATTTTCATACTTACTTGATCCCTATATTGTATCATGGTGGTTGTTTCAATATCTGAACTTCGTCCCAGTATTCCATTTTTTACAGTAAGATTTGGATAATTATCAGCCATATAATCTAATAGGTCTGGGAGATAACTGGCTGCATTGTGTACTATTCCCATGACATTGTGGGCGCTTCCATTTTCATCTTCTCCAAAAACAACCTGTTCATAAAATAAAATTCAAATAAAGCAATCATTAGAATTATAATATAATAGATACCTTAAAAAATTCTTTTGCAAGCTCTTTGATTTCACTCGATGATAAGGAATTTAATTCTTCCTGGTAAAGGTGAACAACCGAAGCTCCACCATTAGGGTGAGTTTCTATTCTTATCAGTCGTCCATACTTAAGGCTGTCAAGCATCGGTTGAAAAAGCGTTACTTCTTTTGAGATGTGATTCATTAATTTGAACAAACTATCACTGGTGATATATTTTCCAAGCGATTTGTCTCTTCTACATTGAACACCGATGCTTGCTTTTTTCAATCTTTGCCTGTAATAACATTTTGAGCAAGTGTACTTCCTTTCAGAATGCTTATCCCGAGAATGTTTACTTTTGCTTCTTTCTGAATCTTTATGATCAGATGTGCTATGGGATTTGGACGATTTTGAGCTGTCACATTGAGCAAGCTCAGCACTGAATTTCACTTCAGTCTTAATATTCTCTTGTTTAAAATGTTCAGTTTTAATCAATTTCACACGATTGTCATTACTGAAGTCTACACTCGACCGGCGCTTAGAATCAGTACGAATTGTTAATAATGAATTCCTGTTGCAACTTTCAGTATGATTGGTTATATTTGTAGAACTGTCGGCGTTATTAGATTGTATGGTCGGTATGGTCGAAGAGCCGTGATATTCCAACGAACTGTTAGGAACGAAATAGGACTCAGAAACTTCAGTTTTGATGGACATGGGAACGACCTGAAAATTAATAAAAGAAAACACAAATACAATATATACTGTATAATTATTTTAGTGCATAAACTCATTAGGGATATAATTTAGCCAATGATTATTATACTTTAAATGTAACAAATTAACAATTATTTACCACTGTCTTATGCTCATTATTCGTAACTGCCTCAACCTTGTCCCGATCTTTGTTTTTCTTTGTGATCTGAAATATCTGTTCAAAATCCTTTTCTGTGAACAAAAAAAAAAAAAAAAATTATTTGAATTATATAAAATTTAAGTACAGATAAAAACTGAAGCTATTACTCTCACATACCACTAAAAACATCTATGAAATGTTATGAGAATGACTTCAAAACTAGGGAGTGTACTCGAAAAAATCTATTTCATTTTTCCAAACTTTACAAAATTTTTTAAACAGGATAATTCTTTGTTTGGCAGAATTAATTTATTAACAGATTAAATTTGCAAAATTAAAGCTAAATTCTTTCTGCGTTTACCAAGAAATGTGTTTTAATCAGAAAATTGCACTAGAGAACTTTAAAGCGAGTGGTGCAGATTGTTAAGACACACCGTATGACCCCTTGAAAAAAATAATTATATACAGGGATATAAATGAAAAAATAAATAAATTTCTCCCTATCTTTGTAACAAGTAATGCTGTATACTTAGTTTACCTAATTTGGCTCTTAATAACATACCTCTTCTGCCCTCACGGAAGGCCTTAAGTCTGCTAGGCATCAAGTAAATAAGCAATCAGATTTCGTCTTGTGAAACAGAATCCTATTCTTCAACAAGAATGGTTTGAAGCTGTTCAATGCTTGTTGAAGGCAACGAACGATGTCTGACCCGTCTCTTTATCATGTCCCACAAGGGTTCTATGTAATTCATGCCAGGAGAATGTGCTGGCCAATTCATAATGGTAATACCTGCATCCTCCAATTAATAGGTGACAACTGGAGGTATATGAGGTCGAGCATTATCATGCATTAATACAAAGTTGGAGCAAAAAGGACCACAGTTTCAAGAACTTCTTCAAACTCAGTGCAGTCGGATTAAATCGGGTTAGGGGCATGGAGGTTGATTCCACATCACACCATAACTTACTGTCTTTGAAAAGGAAGTGACTCATACATGACACATGGAGCAAAAGTTCACCACATCCCCACACACACACGCGCACACACAACCCCATTGTTCAAGTGTCCAAGAGAGATACTGATTTATGAAAAGTCATCTTTCTACTTGAGAACTTTCCAGTAATAAAGAACCTGAAGCGGGACATCACAGAGATTAGACAATTCTCACGATGTCTTATGATGACTGATTTAGAGCTCGCCCTTACATTATGGAACATTTGTAGTCGACTATCAATCAAGGAAGCCATTAAATGACAGTTCCGTATTGCAGTATGAGCAATAAATCCAACTGACCACTACCTTCCCTTTAACAAGACTTCTGGAGGCCCTAAACCTAGACCACCATGTGTGGTACAGCACGGTTCATCCAGGATGAGGGCTATATAACGGACACTATGTACGTCATTCGCCAAAGCATCTGCCCAAGTGAGATCTTCTTGACTTAAAACAATGGTTTTAAGAGAAAAAAATTAATTATTACTTTTTTACTAAAATTTTTTGTTTCAATGTTAAAAACAATTTAACAAACCAATTAACTCACCAAGTGCATTTGGAATGGATGAAATTGACTTTCTTTATTTTTAATTTAAAGAAAGTAAAAGGATTAATAACCCTCAATAAAGGTAACAACAAAATATTAATGTAGAATTTATGTTTTAACTTAACTATTAATCTTTGTAGATAGTTATTTGGAAAACAAACAAATAAATGCCTGTGTTTTTAATTCATTTATTTCTTTAAGTGTATAAATAAAACAAAACTTCTCTAAATGTTTCCCAGAATTTGAAAAAAGTAACACTGTGTTTGTGAGAAAAATCTATTTAATAAATATCAATCAAAACAACACAAAAATAACATATTCTATCAAAATATAGACAAGTTCTTTATCTGCAAACAGAAAACATGCGATTGTGATGTACACTGGGTCAACAAAAAATTCATAAATTTGGTTCCTTGGGCAATTTCTTTTTTAATTTTATATTGGGGCAAAAACCTTGCGATTTACTTTAACTTGCTCATCTCTTCAAAACATTATTACACCTTCCAGATAGTTTTGCACTTGGATGGTCAATGAGAATGTTAATGTTGATTCTTTGCAAGGTCAAGTAAGAACGTTAAAGGTAATTATTTCTTAAACAATATGTTAAACCTTTAATAAATGTCAAGTTTAAAATATGAACAATGTGTTATAAATAAAAGAAAAAAATTTCTACATGTTCGGCAGTGTTTGAAAAAAGTAACACTATTTTTTATAAGATTCTATTTAGTAAATATCAATCGAAACAACTTCAAAATGACATATTCTTTCAAAATATGGAACAGTTGCATATCTGTGAACAGAAAATATGTGTTTTGGATGTCCAGTGCATCAACAAATAATTCATAAAATTAGTTTTTGTAGGCAATTTCTTATATTTTGGGACAAAAATCTTGCAATTTATATGCTCATCTCTTCAAAACTTTCCTACACCTCCTAGATAGATTTACGCTTGGATGGTCGATTGAGAATGTTAAAGGTGATTATTTCTTAAGTGATAGGTTAAACCTTTAATAATTGTCAAGTTAAAATATGAACAATGTCTTATAAATAAAAACAAAAAATTGCTAAATGTGTCCCAGAGTATGAAAATAGTAACACTGCGTTTTTGCGAAGATTCTATATAGTAAATATCAATTGAAACAACATCAAAATGACATGTTCCTTCAAAATATAGACAAGTTGCTAATCTGTGAACAGGAAACAGGTTCAATCGGATGACACTTAACTCTACAAGAGCACGATAATTTATATATTTTTGAATGAAACTTGAGTTGGTGGGAAATAATAGTGCAGTTTAATGGAGGTGTTAGGGTAAGGAGAAAGTTGGATGAGCGGATGACAGAGGGTCAGCCTTATTGGCGGTTTCGTTCTAAGGAATAGGCCTAATATCGTTGGAAGAGAAGGATTGGATTTTTTTGTATTGTTGGATATCTGTCTGTGATAAGAGTCGGTTGATGGTGCTGAGGGAGAGAAAAACGTCGGAACCGGTCAAATAAAAGATAATCCCTTTTGATGGATTGAAATGCGTACCTTTGACGTATTCTGGGGCGGTGGAGTCGTTGTCGTCCTCGACAGAGGGTTTGCTCTCCAGCCGGGGGCGGCATTGGCATTTTCTAGATTCTCTTATCTGCTCAGCTCCGCCGTCGCACTCTTCGCACTCCTCTCCGATCGGGAGGCAGCCCCGGCTCTGGCTCCTGTCGTTCTCGTCGACGAGGAAGCCGGGAAAGTTCAAACGCGAAATGTTTATTTTGTCGTCCGTCTTGTTCGGCGTGTCTTCACGTTTCACTTTGATCGCGGTTGCGGAGGCGGAGGCGGATTTCCGCGGGTCATCGCCGTTCGAGACGTCCACCTCCAGTGTCTCGGATGCCATTTAGCACGGGACGGCGACGCTGGAGACGGGACGTGATTCCGCACGGATTCACAACGACGTTCGATGTCGCGGAGGGAGGAAAATCACACCGGGGATAAAAACCGGGCCGCGTCTCGAGCCGATTTTCAAACTGAGACCGTCCCAATCGCGAATGGCGGTTTTCGAACGGTGAACGCTTGTCTTCGACTCATGTCGACAAAAGGGACCAAGAGTTGAAAGCTTCTCGATCTCGATCTAGAGCGGATGAGTTCGCCTCGACTCGACGGAGAATAGAGACGGAGACTTTCGTCCGGACGGGAACTTTCAAGGCCGCTCAAAGCCTCGTCTACTCCCGGATGTCGGAGATGGCGCGCGAATCGACAAAGGGCCCAGAAAACAAAAGGGAACTTTTACACAGATATTTAATAATCAAGCAAAGCTTAATTACAAAATTATTAAAAAAATATACCCTCACAAAATATTAAATATAATATAATAAACATAAAACACCAAAAAAGGTCTACCAAGTGGGTGTGCACTGTGCACTATAGCTTTCTAACATTTTGTGAACGCGCATGCGCACGTTAATCCGCTTTGTATAAAATTCAAGGAGCATCATGTAGAAAACATCCCGCATATCTTTACTTTATCCTAATGCTAGTCTCTCTTTACATCAGAGCCTCGTCAATTCTAATTTTTTTTACGAGGGTTTGCAACAACAGAGGTTATATCAACTCTCGGGGTGCCGGTGTTTTTGAAAAAAAGCCCATTCCGCTGGATTCGAACCCGGGACTTTTATCTTACAGTGATGAGCGCCGTGTCAACGCTTAAACCGTTGCGGCCATCGACGCCCCCTCAATTTTAGTTAAAATGACACAAATAATAAAAACAAGATAAAACATAATAGTCTAGCTAGCATTCACTCTACACTAGTGTACTCGATGTTCCTCAAAGGAATAGGGATAAGCACATCAATTCACGCAAATAAATTGCACTCACACCAGAATAATCGACATTGCTCGTGGTAATTGAAGATGATCCCCTTTTTCGCGTTAATAAAAACACTCATACATCACACTTCATTCACTCTAACTCAGAGTATTCCCCGGGGCAATTAGGGATAAGCCACTCTATTCGCCCTACAGAATATATTCAAATGCCAGACTTCGTTCACACTACCTCAGAAAACCAATATTCCTGAGGGGGGGATTGGAGATAAGTCCTTCCATTCGGACTGATAGTTGCACTGCCAAAGGGTTTACGATATTCCTCGGTGTAGTTGAGAATGAACAGAAATTACATTCACACACCATACTTTGTTCACACTGCCACAGTGTAGTCGATGTTTCTCTGGTTAATAAGGGAAGAAGCACCTCTATTCAGGCTAATAACTTACACACACATCAAACATCATTCACACTACCATAGAATACTCAATATTTCTTGGGATAATTGGAGATGATCCTCTTTAATCGTGTTAATAAATACATTCATATATTACACTTCATTCACTCTACCTCAAAATAATCGACATTCCTCGGGATAATTAAAGATGATCCCCTTATTCGCGTTAATAAATACATTCATACAACAACTTCATTGGCTCTAGCTTAGGGTACCGGATATACCACAGGATAATTAGGGATTCATGCAAATAAATTACAGTCACACTATCCAGAGTAATCATTATTCTTTGAGATAATTGGAGATGATCTCCTTTTTTGAACTAATAAGAGTTCATACATCACACTTCATTCTCTCTTTACGGTTCTCTTTAGTTAAATCCTAGTTTTTTAGGGTATTTCGACAGTTACGCATTGACTTTGTCCACTAGTCTAGGTAGAATGTACTATTTAATGTAAATAGTGTCATATGATTTTTTGGAGCATGTAAGATGCTGTCTGCTCTTACAAGGAGGAATATGGGAATTTAGATGAGATATGTAGTCAAAGATTAGATCATCTCTATATAGATCTTATCATTTAGATCATATCTGTTGAGTCTGTGAGTTTAGAATTCAAGAAGAAGATCACCGGGAATATCATCACTCCAGCCTCCGTATAAAAAAGAAAGGACAAAAACTTCACTAGACAACCTCCAAGGATTCAGAAAGCTGCTTTCATGCATTAGTTCCGAATAATACTACCGTATTCAAGAACTGGTTGTACGAGGGTTTTACTTATTACTTGAAGATTTTGAGATCATAAGCAAATAGTGAAGAATGACTATGTGAAAATCCAGAGAAAACTTCATTTATAAAGAAATTAAACAAGAAAGGACGAAGAAGTGAGCCTTGAGGAACTCCAAGAACCCTCTCTGGAGAGAGCCATGCATTCCAAAAGATAATAGTTTAATAATTAGTTCAAAGTCTTTAGAAAAGTCTAACATATATTTGTCGATTTGATCTTTTGGAAGGAGTAAAAAAGTATGGTTAATTTTGTTAAAAGAGGTAATCAAGCCTTAGGAAAGGGTACATAGAAAGCAAATTTATACAATTTGAGTCGATTTTATCGAAAAGTGATATCATGACGACGAATCGGACGAGAGGCTGTGACGAGGTACCATCGATGCGTTTCGCTTTTTTTTTCACGTCAATCGTATTATCGTTTTTGTCCTCCTTCGATCGTCGTTTGTATTTCTCCGTCGGCTTGAGGTTTCCCTGGCTTTGAAAATATAATTCTACTCCAAAATAAGTTCGTCCGATATGATATTCGAGGAGAAATTGGAGGAATGCGCCACGAAGAGGAAAAGCTACTTTTTGGAGGAGCACATAAAATTTATGCTCCCCGAAGACTGCGTCCACAAAAAGGAAATAGACATCGACAACCTCGTAAATTGCCTTGCCTCCTTACCTTTGTACGTGCGAGCGGGTATCGCAGAGGAGGATCTCACTGTGAGTATCAATTCGCTTTAAAGATATTTAGCATTTATCCAAATTTTGATTATGGGTTTGGGAAGATATCTTTTTAGCATTTGCTCTCCTCAATCCTGACCTGAATGATCCTGACTTCAATAGAAGAACAAAACCTAACATCTCTACCTCTCTCCCATCCATAAAAACCATTCACACCCAATGAAGTATCCCACATAAGCCATCTACCACTAAACAAAGTGCTGTGCCAATACTGCAATAATCCATCGACACCTACCTAAAAAAAGTTGTAGTCTTCCTTACATTTACAATTCTGTCTTTAGGGCATACTTCACACCCCAATGGAAGTTCTCTCTCAACCAGATCAAGCCATATTACTCAACCATAACACAAGGCGTAACATGTGTCTACTTCCCGCACATCCATAGAAACCATTCACACCCAATGAAGTATCCCACATAAGCCATCTACCACTAAACAAAGCACTGTGCCTATACTGAAAAACTCCATCGACACCTACCAAAAAAACTAATAGTTTTCTAAATAAATATCGATTAACGGTCACTAATCACCACATACTAATAGTTTTCATTACATTTACTCTCTCCCCTCCCAGATTAAGTCGTTTTTCAGTTCATTTCTTTCTATACATTCATGTCCTAGAGACCCAGGAATGTGTTGAAGCATACCAGTTGATTCAGTTTGTTGTATTTATCGATCTCCCCCCCATCAAATAACATTTAACATTTATCCAAATTTTTATGGATTTGAGAATTTTTATGGTTTTTCTTTCTATCACTTTCACTCATCCTAGCCTGAACCATAGAACAAGACGTAACATGTTCTCCTTCCCATCCATAAAATCATTCACACCCAATCAAGTATCCCATATAAGCCATCTTACACTAAAAGAAGCTCTTTTCGACCTAATCACTGCAAAAATCCCATCCAGATGATTCCATAGCCTAAAATACCTCATAACTGTCAAATTAGTCTGTTGCCTATAAAGAGCAAAATCCCAAACTTTCATTCCCTCCAACCTTATTCCTGACCACTAATTTGAGTTCACACTTTCTCATTATGTTGTAAATGTATAGTCCAAGATATTACTTTACCTGGCGGAACAATATTCCAAATAGGCGGCCAAAACAAATACAGTAGATTAATAGAAATGATAAATGATGAGTGTGGTGTTCAATCCTTTTTAAAAAGATAGTTCCTACTCACAGTAAGTTGTTTTGCAACGATCCGGATTTCGAGCCTTTTAGCTCATCATCAGGTTGAAGGACTTCTACAACCTGATGATGAGCTAAAAGGCTCGAAATCTGGATCGTTGCAAAACAACTTACTGTGAGTAGGAACTATCTTTTTAAAAAGGATTGGATATAGTAGATGGGAGCAGTAGTTATTCTATCAAGATGAAATTTTCATCATATTTTTAATGGGTTTTAATTTTCAACGCTTGAACTCATAGGAGTGACATCAACTTTGCAGGTTTCAGGTTGACACTACTTTTATGAGGGTAGAGGACGGCAATATCAAACAGGTGGAAATAGTCTGCGATGAACTCTGTAGAGGCTGGGCCTTAAATACTTTTTAGCGATCTGTGCGATAGCTGGCAGGTAGAGAGGCGCTACACTTGAAAGGTAAAAACAGGTTACTGGGTAGTAAAAGGAAGAAATCTTTTATGTTTCCAGAAAAGAACGATCAAAATTGCAATTGCACTAGAGGCTTCTGTGACTATGGCTGGAAAGATTACCTTCCTTTTGCTTACTACCTGATCCGAAAATCCCTCTTAAACAGGATAATTTTAACCTATCAATGGCTCCTCTATCAGCCAGCTCTCACACAGATGCAGGGGTATCCCAAGGAAGTATCTTATCTCTACCCAGTGTACACCTACCCTTTCTGAGACTAGCTTTGCTACCTACCACACTCTCCGTAATCTTGTCCAGAAACCAAATCTTCCAATATCCAATTCTTTCATTCAAATCATTGAAAGCTCTCAAATAAAATCCATCGAAGTTATTTTCTAATTTTTTATATATATTGTGTTTCATTATTGTTACAGCCAGAATCACAAGAAAAAATGGACCAAATCGCTGCTGAGCATTATGAGAAATACATTAGCCGGATCAAGGAAATTGAAAAAAAAAAATTGCCCGAAGACACGATGAAATGTAGTCCACCTACAAATGTAGCACTTCTAAATGACCAGTTGATATACAATTTTTATGGGCGAGAATTTTCTCGAAGCTGTTTTAGAGCTTTAAAGGACAATGTAAAATGTGATTTAGAATTTGATGACGTAATCTCAGATGTAAGTTGTTTTTTCCTTTTTTTTTAATTAATTCATTTTTTTAAATTATTATTATAGTGAGGTGTGGTGATTAGTGACCATTAATCGATATTTATTTAGAATTAGTGAGATGCGGTCTGGTGTAGGTTTCAGAAAAATATCTTCTTTATTGTGCCAACGTTTCGATCTTTATTGTGATCATCTTCTGGGCCTGGGATTTACAAACATTGTTTACATATAACAATTACATTTTGGATGTGGAAAAGTGAATTTATACAATGCAAAATATTTTTTTATATATATATATTCAATCAAAGTATTTCTATTCACTCAAAGTGTTTGTCTTCTGTGTAATTGTGCCATTCTTGCGTGTCGTGTCGAGAGTGCCAGTGAGATTTTGCTATTTTGTGTTTATATGCGTTGGATTTTGAAGGGGTGGAGAAGGATGTCAGTACAGAAAGACATTTTTGTATAAGGCGTCGGCTTCTTTGAGGTGAAAAGAGCCGACGAAGGGAAAAAATGTGTTGGTAATCGTTCGGCCAGATATCCTTTCAGGATTATATAGAAAGGGATAAATGGGAAAAGGAAAGCTAAATTGTTGGGAAATTAGACTATGTGAAAAATATATGTGTGAAATGTAATGTGATGATATAGGTATGTTATCTGTATTGAATTTGATTAATGATATTGGCGTAGCTGCGACTGAATATATACAAAAATGTCTTTTCTATACTGACATCCTTCCCCACTCCTTCAAAATCCAACGTATATAAACACAAAATAGCAAAATCTCACTGGCACTCTCGACACGACATGCAAGAATGGCACAATTACACAGAAGACAAACACTTTGAGTGAGTAGAAATACTTTGATTGAATATAAAAAATATATTACAATTAATTAAGATTTTTAGTTGAGATAAAAAGTCACTGGCACGAGCGTGATTCGAACCCACGATCTTCGGCTTGATACGCCGCTGCTCTACCTCTTGAGCTATCGTGACCTCTTCTTTTTTATCTCAACTAAAAACCTTAATTAATTGTAATATATTAATTGGTCAAGCGGACCACGAAATTAGTGAATATAAAAAATATATTTTGCATTGTATAAATTCACTTTTCCACATCCTAAATGTATTTGTTATGTTTGTAAATCCCAGGCCCTGAAGATGGTCTCAATAAAGATCGAAACGTTGGCATGATAAAGAAAATGTTTCTCTGAAACCTACATCACACCAGACCGCATCTCACGAATTCTAAATAAATTATAGTGAGGTTTTCTTTTTGACACTTGAAAATTTTAGTCTCCTAAAAAAATATATGTTCGCGAATTAATACAGGGAGCATCAGTGGCTGCAACGGTTTAGGCGTTGACACGGCGCTCATCACTGTAAGGTAAATGTCCCAGGTTCAAATCCAGCGGCCCTGCATTCAAACCTGACATACTTAAAAATGAACTTTTTTTTTTCTTTCCCAAAAATACTTTAACCCAGGGATTGATATGATCTCTGCTGTCTACTGTTGCGAACTCTCATTTAAAAAAAACCTTTGAGACAGCCAGACAGTTAGTTCTAAAGGCTCTCCAAGAAAAAAAAATTAAAAAATCCTCCTTGCTCTGTATACCTTTGCTGATTTTGTTGTTTTGGCAAAAATCGACAAGGATATGCAGACCAAGATCATAGATAACTACCAAATTATTAATACATTGTCTGTTTATTTTATAATTTAATAAATTTAATGTGCAATCATGCAGCAGCACAGACTAAATTTTTTAAACTTTTATTGAAAGAATCATTACTTTTTCCTTAAAAAAAGAAAAAAAAAGACACCATGTTGTGAGATTACTCAGTGTTGTCTGCTGGTTGATGAATCTGTAATTGTTTTGTTATCAATTATTTTGGTCTACCTATCCAGCAAAACCAAAATGATAAGTATCGAATAACTTAATCCACTGACAGACCAACTGACACCACCAGCACCACGTATTTTTTCCTTGATCTCCTCACATTGTATCTACACTTTTTTCTCATTAAATTGCCATTACTTAAATTAATTATTGATTAATTTGTAGGATGAAAGTAAAATTGAAACATCAGAACCTGGAAATATGATGAAAGTGTTCGATAATTTTGTCGCTGGACTTTGTGAAAGACACAATAGAGTTGGAGTTATGAGTTCAGATGAATCAGAACTGTCAATAGATTCGGACTATGATTACTACGATGACTCGAATAAATATTACGCTAAAAAAATGGAACATTTAAGTAAATTGATAAAAGTGACTGCAAGCTTGAATTTTGATCAATATTATCCTCCTCGGAATCTCAACATCGATTTTCAGAATACGCCGTATGACAGGGAGAAACCTGCTCCCCTAGATGATATGATTTCAAAGGCAGACAAGGCATTGGAAAGAGTGAGGTTAAGGCGTCAAAGGGCAGATATTAGAAAAGAGCGTGAATTACGAAGGAGGAAGAGACTATTTTTAACACACGAAAAAACACCTGAAGAGAGCTCTGTAAGAATGGATGTGGCTGTTCCTTCCATCTCATCTTCTTCGCATCTTTTGTGCGTCAGTGCCGAGGAGGATATTGAAAGCAAAGGTAAAGCTTCAAATAAAATAGCTCAGAAATATAAAAAAGGACGCGCAAGGAGAAAAAAACGAGGAGGAAGCAGTGATGACGATGATGATTTTACACAGTTAGAAGCTTTGGCCGATAGAAAAATGAAACAAAGAAGTCATCTATTTTAAAACAAAAAAATTATATCTGTACAATTACTTTCATTTTGAAGAAAGTAAGAAATAAAATATTTCTTTTTAAATTATATGCTGTGATTGATTTGCAGCATTTTATATTTTATACTGTTGATTTTCAAGATCTAAATACTCTCGTTCCTTATGATGTTATAATTGTTAATATCCTATTTTTTCTGTATTGAAAAATGTTGATATATATAATAAATACTATCACCTTTTTTCCCTTAAGATCTTTTGGCCCTGTAGTTTCAGTTTATCTACGATCATTCATACAAGAGGTGGTATGTTCAGAAATAAAATGTGTTTAAAAAAATTTTAAATATAATATAGTACACATTATAACAAATATGATATTATAATAAAAATAATGTTATTATTTAATCACAATAACTAAAGGGAAGGAGCAAGAAATGAGCTTTGATATAGTTTACAGACGGCTCAAAGATGGGAAATGGTGTGGGTATGGTAAAGAGGCCTAACTTTGAGCACCTCATAGCCCTCGGCTTCGCCACAACCATCTATCAACCAGACTGCTACTCCCTAAAAATTGTGCGCATGAAATAAATAATAAACATCACAAAGGTACAACACTTATTTTCTTAGGGGTGTCGGTAGTCACAATGGTTACAGCATTGACAGTGCCTGTCATTGTAGGATAAATGTCCTGGATTCAAATCCTAAGGCCCTGCATTTGAAGCCGACATACAAATGTACTTTAAAACAAACTCGGCACCTCGGGGGTTGGTAAGACTTCTGCTGTGTGAACCCCCTCATTTAAAAAAAAAGAAAGATAAAAAAAGCTCTCTGAGCCTAGTAGATCACCTCAAAACTTGCACAAAAAAAAAAAAAAAATAATAATAATCTACAAATATACTAGTGTACAGGATATGCTTCTTAACTGGAGGACCATGTACTGAGGACTTGGTATGGTACTTAACTGTACCATCTTGTTAGATGAGGATACCTATTGGCCTCCCCCTTTATTGAGCTGTTTAACCATGGTTGTATTTTTATCCACATCCTGGAGAAGGGCTGTGAACATTAAGTTAAAATACAAGGAAAAAATGGCTTGGCAGGTGAGCCCCTAGGTTGGTTGGCTGTTGGCGCTGGGCGGGCCTTCGCCCTTGGCGGCCTCAGGCCTCTGGTCCTGCTCTCCCAATTCTCCACAATCACCACAAAACATGGCTAATGAGCAAATCTCGGTGCAGAAAAACAACAACAACAATGGTTATAATTTGTTTAGATGAGAGATTCAAAGACTTTAGCTATTGATGATTGGATGTAGATATGAACATAGTCTAATAAAGAAGTCTCCCTGGGGTATGATATCGAGGTCTGGCTTAAGAACCACTTACCGTGATATTTTCCTAGCACAGCGAATACTAGGAGCGTAACCCATGCACGAGGCAAGCAAAAAGACTACTCACAAAAATAGAAGAAAAAGGAATTCCTACTCAGCACAAAAGGGTTAAAAACTCTACCTGGTATATTTGTGAGGCATGCTCCAGTAAAATACCACCTTAAGAAAATGGGATCCCAGAATGAACTTTTCATATGTTGAGATGCTCTCTCTTCTTCGTAAACTTAATATAAATAAAAAAAGTATTTTAATATTTTTAGTAGAAGTGTGATTAAGTAAAACAGAGTATATACTGCAATAAATAAAAAAAGGTGAAATAAAAATTTTGGCTAGTCTGTTTTAGTGTAAGAGAGAAAAAAATTATGACAGTTCCAAAGTGAATTTAAATTTGATATTTTAGAATAGAAGGAAGTTCATTGTTGAAAATATTAAATAAGAGTGGAAAAAGATGAGCCCTTGGGGAACACCAGAAGAAACTTTTATTATTTGAGATTGGTAGCTGCCTAGTATAACAATTTGTTTGAGGTTAGTTAAATAACTAGAAACCCAGGATAAAAATCGTCCTGAAATCCAAACAGATTCAAGTTTTAACAATGACGATGACAATCTACATGATTACCATGTTCAAGTTGTGTTGATAGGAAACTAGTAAAAGAAGGAAGTTTTGTGAAAGTGGAGCAGTGTTTAGTGAAGCCTTGTTGAGAGTGATGCAAGAATTGTTGGAAAGTAGGTGATCTGTTATGAGAAATGATTTTTTCAAAAAATTTAGGAATTTAAGAAAGAAGGCCGATAGTTACTATATTTTCGTTTACACTTTTAAACAAAGCAATAACAAATCCAACTTTCCAAAAGCTAGAAAAAACACCTTGATCCAAGGAATAATTGAATATATTACAGAGAACAGGTGTTAAAGCATATCTACAGTGATATAGAAGAAGTAGAATACCACCTGGTCCAGGAGTTTAAGTTTTTATTAAGTTAATTAGTCCTATTAAGTTTTTAATATTGCTTCAAGGTTGTTTACTAGTCAGGTCAGGGTTAAGTTTAGACAAAAAAGAATATCTTTTAAGCATTTCTGAAATCTGAATAAGCTTTGTCACGCAAATTTTTGAAACTTTGAAAAAGTAGTCCTCAGGATGACCAGATACCTACAAATAACATTTTAGCATTAGGCTATTTGTAGTTTATTAGGGTATTTAGGACGTTTCAGACAAGTTTTGAGTTAATTTTGTATTCTTGGAGAGCATTTAAAGCTGCCTGACTGCCTCAAAGAATTATTATTGTTGTACTTTTGAGATGTTTATTATTTATTTGATGTGCACATGTTCCCATGTTAGTAGTTCTGAACTGCCTGGCTGTCTCAAAGAATTATTATTGTTGTACTTTCGAGATGTTTATTATTATTTTTTGGTGTGCACATGTTTCCATGTTAGAAGTTCTGCTTGAAAGATAGTACCTACTCACAGTTATTATTTCTCTTAATTGCTAGTCAATGCATTGAATGGATTATAACACAATTAATAACACTATCTCCACTTACTTGAAATTAATTCAGTAAACTGAACTGAAAAAGAAAGAAAAAACTGAGTTGGAACTCTCTTTTAGAGAAATTAAACAACATACTCACCTAACCTTGTTCATTTCTCTTAGATAGTTGTTGTGCTCAATGTTAAGCCGTTTTATGGCGGTTTTTATATATAATTTTCTCTCAATATAGAGTTCAATATCTTCTTTAAGGTCTTTACTAGGTGAAAGAAGATACTGAACTCTACATTGATTATCTGCAGGTCGATCTACAAACATCATTTCTTCAATTTTCTCTTTCCTTATCCCCTTTTTGACATGAATTTTGGAGTCGTCCTTTTTCACCTTTTATTGTCCTTTTCACAATGGCCGTTAGAGAGGGGGCGGTACGGACTCCTCTACGGCCCTTCTGGCAACCAGCCCGATGCCACTTGAATTTGGTCAACATCGGCTTCGCTTTGTTGATTTTTCTGTCGAAATTCACGGATAGAATCGAGAAAAATTCCTGTCCCGGCAGATTGAGTTCAAACATAATTCTTAATCGTTTTCGTCCGTCCGTCTCGTTATCCGGTCCGAAACCCGTGTATTTGTGGAATGGCAGTGAAGTGCATTATTTATTCTCTATATCATTTTATTTAAGTGTCAGGTTTTGGTTCAAAGTGTCGGGACAAATCTGTTTTTGATTGCGATTCAGCCTTTGTAGGAAAGCCGTGTTTATTCCAGCCTTGCGTTTATTTTACACAGGTGCTTCTTTTTTTTCTTTTTTTTGTACGAATTTCAAATGGAATATTCACAATTTGGTCCGGCGCCGAGTTGAAACGCGGACGCATAAAATGAAGGATTTTTTATACAAACCTAACAAAGGCTGAATTTCCGTTCTTCAGTGTCTTTTTTTTGTGTTTTGTTTTGTTTTTATCCGGGGCCTATATATCTGCGAGTCGTGGCTGTAAAAAACAACGCCCGAAATAATTCGATCTCAGTTGAATATCCGCCGTCCCCCGTTGGTTTTTCCGTAGATCCCTCAAACCCGACGACTCGTCCGATTTTCCGATATTTTCCGATCTTGTCTGCTTTGACTGGCGAGACTCGGACTTTTGTCTCAATGCTTGTTTTTTCGGCCAAACTCGACCCAGTACGTTGGAATGCCATTGAGGCTGGACCTAGAACAATACTAGGTGCGAGCCAAACCAACCCTCTTATATGGTAAGTGTTTATGTTTTTATTTATATCTGGTTTTTCTTCCTTTTTAAATTTATTTTCGGCTAAAAAAGTTTTAATTAACAATAATCAAAGATTATATTAAGAATACTCGAGCGTCGGCTACCCATATCGCCGGCTGTTTGACGTTCGACGACTAGTTTTCGAATTGACTTCCATTTAAATTTAAAATAAATATTCAGACGTCTGGTAATACATTTATTTATTTTCAGAAGAAAATTTTCCCTAGGGAATCGCTCATTTACAACGTTAAAAAGTTTGACCACAGAAGAACTACTTATTTGCCCATATATTTATAATATGAAATCAAATCAGTAACATATTTATGTAAAAATCGCTGTTGGTTTTTGTCTATTGTGTTGATCTCCGCATGATTTCCTGGACCATTTCCCTTTCTTTTATGATAGAATTCTTCACAGTGGTATGTTTAAGCTTAAGGGCCTCTTTCAGATGAGGCGGTTTGGTTGATTTGACCATGTTGCCCGGTCGACTCTCAACTGCCTTGTGAAGACTCTTCTTTGCTGGTTTCACACCAGGCAACTAGTGGAATCAACCTCTCTTCCCAATGGGAGGTCAGTACGATGTTAGAACCCGAGGAAGCTGGAGCACCTCTTGTGCTTGCTCTTCTGCAAAAAGAGAAGGAAAAAAGGAGGAAACCCAGTAAAGAAAATTGTGTGTTTATCTGTTGTTATAAAATTGGAAAACGGGTGCTTTCTCTCAAATACTGTTGTACTACTTCCCTCCAAGCTTCGCTTATTTTCATTTTGTCGCTATACTCCTCATACCTCATGTCCCATATTGCGGGACTAATACAAATTTCTTTAATGAACAGCTCCACATTGAATCTTTCAATTGCAAAGCTTTCCATGGTGAACTCAGTGGTCTCAACTAGGCGAGGTGTGAAGGAAGAATGCCGAGCAGTGTCTACTGTGTTGAGTCAGCTAGTGGAGATGAGAACCTGTGCCTTCTGGCCACCTGCCTGGGCGGACGAGTTGACTGCGTGTGAAGGGGTTGGGGCGATTCCCAAACATTTTGCTGCCTGGTTACACTCCTTGACACCCGTCCGTTCAACTAGTTGAATCAACTAGCCGCCCCGCCTGAAAGAGGCCTAATGCTGGGTTTCCACTGCGTGAAAATCACTCATGCGACCGTTTCACCAAACTTGTCTGGGGGTGCCTGGACTGCGAAACTTTTAGTGCGAGGATGCTCCGGGGTGAGCTGACTGGCAGTGAGGATTTGTTTCACGTTGTTTGTTTCTCTCCATGTATTCGCACTTGTCAAGTATGACAATGGACTGCATTCGAATTATCTGAATGTATCATAGAGCTCCTGGTTTTTTGTTTTTAACTCATGTAAAAATAAACTTATATGTTACCTTTGCTTGCCAGTTAAGACAAAATGTTTTGCCTCGTGTAAATGGTTAATCTGAGTCGATGTTTTGCGAGTGATTCTCTCATTTAGTTGCATAAGTGATTTTTTCATGCAATGGAAATCCAGCTTATGGATGAAGAACAGTTTTCCAGCATTCCATACTCTCTTCCTATGCATTGCAGGGCAGTTACATAGGATATGTTCACTTGTCTCTCTTCTAGGCACAATTGACATTGATCATCTATTTATAAACTTTTTTTTTAAAGTGGTACTTAGATTAGATAACCTCCATTCTGGGGTTTGGCAATTTGGTATGCCACAAAAGTGTTCAGAGTGAATAGGTGCAATCATCAAACAAAATAGGTGCAATCATCAAACAAAGTGTACATAGATTGGATTAGAAAAGGGTTCGGACTCATTACGACCATGACCATTATTGGTCTAGTGTGCATTTCCATTGTTGTCTAGAGCTCTTCATTAATCTTAAGACTATTTACCAGATCCCAAAGCTTTTTTAAGGACACCCGCATGAGTCCTTACTCTTCCAGGAGTAGGAATTTTAGCTTACATATGCCTTTGCACTAACTGAGGACAAGTTCCGTTGTTTCTTTTTCTTCCTGGCAATTTTTCCACAGGCTTATTTTTGTCACTCTGAGTCTATACATATACATATAGAATCTACAGTGTCTAGTCAGCAGTAAACTATTATTCTAGTCAGAACATGACCTAGATTTAATAGTTCCAATGTTATTTTCTGTGATGATCCTTTGATAAAGTTTTTTCGCATGTCTCTGTCCTGGGGTATGGTGTGTAGGTGTTTTCATCGATCAAGGTGGTGGTACTATGACCACGACCAGTATTGGTTTAGTGTGCATTTCCATTGTTGTCTGGAGCTCTTCATTAACCTTGAGACTTTTTACCAGATCCCAAAGCTTTTTTAAGGACTCCTGCATCTAGCCTTCCTCTCTCAGGATTAGGAATTGTAGTCTACATAAGCCTTCACAACAAGGACATGTTCTGTTGTCTCTTTTTCCTGGCAATATTCGCACAGGCTTGTTTTAGCCACTCTGAGTCTATAAATGTATAATGTCTATAATATGTCTGTCCATTCAGCAGTCAATTCAATAACTAACATGTCCTAGATTTAGTAGTTCTGCTGTTAGTTTCTGTGATGGTCCTTTTATGAAATTTTCACATGCATCTGCCCTGGTCTGTGATCTATGTTTTTGGCAGTTTGGTATGCCACAAAAGGGTGAGGGCCAACAAGTGCCCACATCAAACAATATGGTTTTCTTGGGCTCCCATATGGGTGGTTAGCATTCCATTTAATATGGATGTGGTTGGACGTATTGATGCTGACCCACTGTTGGAAGGGGCAAATGAGGAAAAAACTCGTTTTGATCTTTAGTGTTTGAGACTTTACACTTAAGAGTGCCCTCTCAACACGACACGTAAGGATGGCACAATTACACAGAAGACAAACACTTTGAGCCCTGAAGATAATCTCAATAAAAGATCGAAACGTTGGCACGATAAAGAAAATGATTTTCTGAAACCTACATCACACCCGACCGCATCTCACAATATCTGAATAACTATCGATTAACGGTCACTAATCTCTACACACTTTACACTTAACTTACAAAATAAGCACCAGCCTCTCGTAAACAGAATGTGTTGCCTCCCACCTTTAAAAACGAATGTCTGATAAGACCATGCACCAGGTGTGGACGAAAAAGTACCTCGTTGTCTCACAGACACTGCAACTCCTACAAAGAACTAATGACCTAAAAATGTAATTTAAAAAACAGTTTGAAAGTATGTGGCAATGTCAATGGGTGCCGATCAGCAGAGAAGCTTTTATGTATAAAGAGAACTGTTGACAGGTGGCTCTTGCAGGATCTGACTCGTAGAAGTATCAACCACACCTGATTAAGAATAGGCCATGGAGGATTGAGTAGAGGAGATTGACACATGGACACTTACTTTTGGGCAATGGTTGTTTTATTGTATATAGGTAGTACTGATATTTTTGGTCTAATTTTGTGGGTTAAGAACGTATTTATTATTATGATGTACATGTGAGAGGGTTGAATAGAGTACCTTATCGACCTCCTGACTTAACAATCACTGTCCAGCCCTCTAATGCTATAATTGAAATAAAAACTTAAAAAAAAAAAAAAAAAAAAATTAAAAGAAAGTGGCCACTCAGTGGGCTGGATCGGCAGAGAAGCTCTCATGAATCATGATCACTACCAATAGGTGGTCCTTTGGAGGATCTGAATCATAGGAGAGGGATAATTCTCATCTGATTAGGAATAATCTGCAAGGTTGATACATGGACACTTACTTTTGGGCCAAAGCTCATGCAGAGAAAGGTTGCTTGATATGTTCCTTTGAGAATTCCCCAATGTTCCCTTGAATTTTGAGTTCCAATTAATTGAACAGTACCATTCCTTGGCTCCATATAGAGAGCATGTAGGAATGCTACTTGATATGAGAATTGTATTTGAGTAAGGCAGCGAGGATCCCCTGTTGTTTTATTGTATATAGTATTGATATACATATTATTTTGTGTCCCTTAGTGTGTGTTCAGAGTGAATGCACTTATTAGCATGAATGTGTTGTGTGAGAGAGTCGATGGCCACCCACTTTCAACTGGGGTGGGTTTGGGTCTTAAGAGTGATTTCATTTGTGGCTGAAATGACCTAGCTGTTGATAGTTTCTGAAGCCTCAGTGGCTGGACGGAGACCGAGGTTTGTTCCCAGACTGTTAACACTCAGGGTCGGTGATTCTCAAGGCCTGTCATGTTGGTTATTTTTTTACCTTTTTGGAAATAAAATTAGCCCTACAATGTTTTCTTTTTCCTTATTCTTATTTTGACAGTAGCAAACCAATAAATCATAACTGAAGAGGGAAAAATCAAATAAATTGTTCACTTCTGTAGTTTTTAAAAATTAATTAATTGGTGTTTTTTATAAATAAATATAAGCCTTTAGTTCCAGGTTTATTTACATGGGAAGCTTTTCAATTATTTTATAATCATCTTCAGCCTATAACATAATAAAACAATGTAGCTTTTCAATTATTTTATAATCATCTTCAGCCTGTAACATAATAAAACAATGTCATTTTCTTTCCCCTTCTTAATTCAGTTTTGTGTACAACTCACCCCTTAACTCACAGTCTTGTTATTTATATATTTTTTCCCATATAACTAACACTACTTATTAATTAATAGTATGTTAGCATTGACATCCCTTCCTCTAGCCGAGCTCGTGGTTCCCATTATGCCTCACTCCTGACGTCACGTTAGTGTCCTCCATTAATTTATTTATTTATATTTTAATGGCCTTATCTTTCAATATTAGCCGAGGATATCAGAGAAAGCGATGAATTAATCTTGGGGGAAGGATAATGTGAAAAAAAGGGCCAGGGGCGATGGTGGGAATCGAACCCATGACCAAGGGGTCTATGAGCCAAGAGTCAACACGCTGACTTGACGTTCTCTCACTTCTGTATTTGTTCTTAAATATTTTTATTCGACTATAATGGGTTGTAAAATTAATTGTGTTGTGTTGTTTTTCTGTTTCAGATAACATGCTGTAATCAGAATGGGATTTGCTCAAGCCGGGTTTTTAATTTGCATTTTTGTTGGCTCACTTATTCATGTGTGCACTAATAAATCTATTATTTCTCAATTTCCAACCCAGCAGTTGGGCAATTGCTCCACTTCAAAGATAAAAAAATTGACTCATCTCGCTGTTGATCCGGTTACTGGTCGAGTGTACGTAGGCGGGAAGAATCGCATCGTTCAGCTCGACTCTTCATTAAACCTAGAAGAATGTGTTGTAACTGGTCCAGAACAGGATAGTGTTCTCTGCCATGCACGAGGATGTGATTCGCCCAACATCGAGAAAGTTTTAACCGATAATGTGAATAAAATATTAGTGATAGATCCACAGGCTCGAACGTTAATATCATGTGGTTCTATACTTCAAGGTGCTTGTGAAAAATATAAATTAAGTAATATTTCTGTAGATAGACAGTTTTACCCAAACAGTATAGCCGCAAATGATGAAGTGTCTTCTACGTATGCATTCATTGGACCTGAAAAGTATAATATGTGGGGGAATTCTAATGTTCTGTATGTAGGGACTACATTTACGAACAATGGAGAATACCGCCATGATGTTCCAGCGATATCTAGTAGAGATTTGTTTAATTTAGAATTTGCAGAATTGTCTTTTTCCAAACAATCTTTGCTTCGAATCGATGTTAAATACAGAGACCATTTTTTAGTTAAATATGTCTACGGTTTCAATTCCAGTGATTACGCCTACTTTGTTATTGTACAAAAACAGTCGCATTTACCAGGCCAAGAAGAATTGGGATACATAACAAGACTAGCTAGAGTGTGTATTAACGATGCCAACTACGACAGCTATACAGAAATTACAATTCAGTGTTTAGTCGGCGAGGGATCAGATCAAAAGAATTATAATCTCATCCAAGATGCCAAATTATCTTCTGCTGCTGATGAATTAGCAATATCCCTAGGAATTGATCCAGGAGATCCAATTCTTACAGCCTCATTTTCACCCAGCAAATCTATCACAAATGAACCGGTATCGCATTCAGCTGTCTGCGTATACAGTATGGCAGATATAGAGGCAAAATTTAATGAAAATATCCATCTTTGTTTTAACGGAAGCAATAAATATCGAAACATGCCATATGTTTCTGGTTTAATTCTGGACGGGGACTGCCCTCAGGCTGGGGTGAGTTCTTTAAAATGAAAATAACTTATTGAAAAAAAAAAAAAAATGGCCATAAGATGTAGTTTAAAACTAAACATTTATGTTTATTTTAGAGCACTGGTAATATTTTAAATTTCTGCGAAGTCGGCTTGAAAATTTCTGGATTTACTCCTATAAAAGCATTGTCTGCAATTAATTTTGATAACATCTTAGTAACTTCAGTCACGATGGCAACTACAGAAAGGAATACTGTTGCTTTTCTTGGAACATCAGGCGGCCTATTGAAAAAGGTATAGTATAATAGTTAACAAACTCACTTGAGCAATATTTGTAAATAAATCAGTGGTTCGATATTAATTTATTATTTTATCATACACACAAGAATATTTGGTGTTATTAGTGCATGTAATATATTGTACAAACAAAATATTTCTCATCTAATAAACGTAAGAAAACATTTAATCAATAATATAAAAATACAATTTTTATTAATTGTTTTGCACAATTGATTTTTTTTATTACGGCTTTATTTCTTCCATATTATAGCCAGAGAGAGACGAGATTGATAATATATGCTTTTTTTGGGGAGGGGGGTATGAAAATAAAGGCCAGGGTGACGAGAGTTTAACACTCAGCTGCGGTCCCCTGATTAATTTTTGTAGTCCCAGTGAAATTTTGTTTTGACCAATTGACATGAATGAGTTAAAAAAAATTAAGTTCATTCTATTTATCGTCATATGCTTGATTCTGTTTTAGGTACTTTTAGTAGGTGCCAATAAAGGTTTGGAATATGAGCAGCTTTCTATAAATGAAGGGAATCCTTTGCTTCCGGATACCACCGTATCACCTTCTAAAGAACACCTTTATGTTTTAACATCAAATAAGGTAAATTTTATTATATAAAAAAATTCGCAGATTGTATTATTTATTTATTACATTTGAATTTGATTACATAATTTGTGTATGTTATTTACTGTATATGGCAGAAATCAGTTCAAAATGCAAAATACGGGAAATAAACTAGATAAAAAAATTGTTTAAACAAATAATTACAGTAAAACCAGTGCGTAGTCTTGAGGCATGGCAGCTGGCACAGATCGCTGTTCCAGTACCTCAGGGCTATAGGGATTTTTAAATGTATATAGTTTTATGTGTTTGCGTTGTGTCTATGTTTGACTTTATGTTAATTTATTGGAATGAATGTAATTTATTAGCATGAAAGGAAGGGGTGATTAAACCCCGCCCCGAGGAATATCGAGTACTCTGGTGTGAGTGTGTGACGTCTGGAGAGTAAAAGTAANAGCATTCTAGAATGTCAACGTAGTATATATCTGAAATCAGAGAGTCAGTAACCAGATCGAGACGCTCAAATGGCTGCAGTTTAAAACAAAATATGCGCGAAAGAAAAGAAAAAGATGGAAAACATAAACATGCAGAGGGCCGGCGATGACCTCAGCTGTTTGTCGGCCCATAAACTTCTCACTTATAATACACTAAAACTTTCGTTATCCAGCTTAATGACAGGGAGAGGGGGTCCATGGAAAATTGAAAACCCCGGATAATGGATTTATTTTTTAATGTGTTAATTAAAGGGTGAATTAAGGAGACACATGTACATATATCACTTTTATTAATGTGTATCTAACGTAAAATATTTTGATTAAACTTGTTTATTTAAAAAAAAAAGTAAAAAATTTCCAAAAGGTCAAATTGAAAACTGGTCTTTACGGTAACATTGACAAAGCAATACTAAAGGCCTGTGACACCAATTCAGTTCCAAAAATGCCCCAACACCCTTAAACAAGGTTTGAAAGCAGGGGTTTTCTAAAAGAGGTGCGTCATTCTGAAAGGACATCCATAAATGGGGATGGGTTTATTCCGTTGATAACGGCTGCAACGAATGTGTTCAATGTAAATAGACTGGTGGGGGAGTTTCATAGGAACAAGACAAAAGCCAGTGTTCTTTGAATCAGAATTGACCTGTTGCAATGCAAAATATATACCTGTATACACATGTATATATTTCGTACATATATTTATGACCTGGGGCCCGGATAATTGATTTCCGGATAGTTGAACACAGAATAATGGAGGTTTTACTATGTAAATCATGTTGATTCCAGTTCTCCAACTGGATATGTTTCAATAGTTAAAAAATAAATACTAAAAAATATTTTAAAATAGCTAACTAATAAATATGTTTCAGGTTTTAAAAGTCTCCATTGAGCATTGTAATACGTTCATGAATTGTTCAGCCTGCTTGGAAGGAAAAGATCCATATTGTGGATGGTGTTCGCTCGAACGAAAATGCACTGTGAGGGGAGCCTGTCAAAAAGCAAGTCATAGTGCACCAAGATGGCTTTCATATGGCACCGGTCAGCAGTGTATAGATTTTGAACAAATAGTTCCAGATAGAATACCCATCAAGCAAATGGCCACTGTATGTGTAATATTTGATTATTTTTAAAAAATTAAATTCTTCAGTTTTTAACAGTTTTTACAATTTTGTACATTGCTTTAGGTCCTCCTGACAATCAGAACCCTGCCTGAGTTACCTGCAGGTGCTAAATACAGATGTGTATTTGGTGGTGCGGAGCCACTAGATGCCGGTGTCACTCCTCAAGGCTTGACGTGCCAAACTCCAAACATCAATTCGAGGCCGTTAATTCCACCTGGCAAAGATCACGTTTTGGTTCCTCTTTCTGTGAGGTCTTCAGAGACTAACAAAGATTTTGTTTCTCGGAATTTCGCTTATTACGATTGCTCTTTTCATACACGGTGTGTTAACTGTGTTCATTCTCAGTGGGCTTGCAGTTGGTGTGTATACGAGAACAAATGCACTCATAATACATCAAGCTGTCAACCGACTATAATCAATGGTGAAAATGTAAGTTTTCAACTAGATGTAACATTTTTTAAAATATTATTTTTATCACTATGAACTGGGAGAATGTTTAATTTTTTATTTAATCTTTTTTTTTTGTTACTTTCTCAGGTCTTTCCACGTGGACAGAAATCTATTGCTAATGCATGTCCACGCTTCTCCAAGAATAGCAAACAATTACTTCTTCCGAACCGAGTCACAAAAGAAATCATATTAGAAGTTGAAAATATGCCTTCTCCACAACCGGGGCATTCAGGCTTTCAATGTATTGTGACAATTGAAGATGCCAAAATGATGGTACCAGCGAGAATGGAACATCAAAGGATAGTTTGTGATAAAACCATGGTAAATAACAATTATACTTATGTATTACAAAAATTGAACAGGTTATCTTAAGTATTAAATTTAAAAAACTAACCACAAAACATAATTTTTATAACAAAACAACGCAAGATTCAGCTTCTAAAGAGAACAAACAGTAACACATAAAGTATGAATATTACATGTGAGGTGTAGTTTTAGATATATAGTATCAATTAATTAAAATTTTTTGAAAATCCCTCCCCCCTTAAAGCTTTAATTTATCAGTTAATGTTCTTAAGCCTGTTTCAAATGGAACCAGTAGTTTTTGCTCATTTTTCGAATTTCTTATATAATATAAATTTGTTACAGTATACGTATGAAGCTAATACTGGAGAGCATGAGGCAGAAGTTAGTTTAGTATGGAACAGAAATCATCACGTTGATTCGATGACTTTGACACTTTATAAATGTGATATTCTCGGGTCTCACCGGGACCATGCAGACTGTTCCCTTTGTGTAACAAGGGAGCTGAAATATAATTGTGCATGGTGCTCTTCCACTTGTGATTATGCGGAAAGCTGTAAACTCACACCAACGAAAGAATGTCCTAAACCAAGAATAGATATGGTAAAAACGTTACTTTTTTAATATGATAAATTTTGCTCATTCTAATATCTTTCTGCAGATAAAGCCTCTTAGTGGCCCAATAGAGGGTGGTACGATGGTTACAATTGAAGGAAGCAATTTAGGCCTGAGAGAAGAAGATGTTGCTGGAAAAATTCATATCGGAAACACTCCTTGTAATTTAGTCGAATATAATGTTTCTGTAAGAATAGTGTGTCAAACCGGACCATCACCAACTGAAAAAGTAGCTGCAGTAGTTGTTGGAAACCAAGCAGGATTCACTGAATCAACCGTCCATTTTAGTTACAAGGTATTTAATTAAAATGTACAACTATTTAAGTACATTTTATTAATGTTAATTTTTGTTTTAAAGGACATAAAACTAGAAAGTGTTTCACCTTCAAGTGGACCAAGGAGTGGAGGAACTCAATTGGCGATAACAGGACAGTTTTTGAATATTGGTAGTAATATTTTTGTGTTTCTGGATGAACTGCCTTGTATTGTGAATGCGTCTCAAACATCAAGCAGTAGGCTGATGTGTATAACTTCCCAAGCGGCAACACCTAGAACAATTTCAAAACTGATTTTGAAAATTGACAGTGCCAACAGAAGTCTTTCAGCTACACCTTACATTTATAAACAAGACCCGACAGTTTTGGAAATAAAACCGTTGAAAAGTTTTATATCTGGAGGAAGGATGATTACTGTCCATGGGACCAACTTAAACACCATTCAAAATCCAGAAATGATTGTGTATGCAGAAACATCATCAAAATATGTCAATAAAACGGTATGTTAACATAAAATTCTTAATGATTTTCATTTAGTTAATGTTAAATTAAATTAAATTATTAATTAATAAATTAAATAATATAAATATTAATAAATAAATTCAATTAAATATTAATAAATTAAATAATATAAATATTAATAAATAAATTCAATTAAATATTAATAAATTAAATAATATAAATATTAATAAATAAATTCAATTAAATATTAATAAATTAAATAAATGAAATAATTAATTAAATTATTAATGATTATTTAAGAAAGGAACTTGTATCATATCATATAACTTTAATATTATTTAAATTTGGCACTGTAGTAATAGGTTGTTAGAAATTGACTTGCCTGCAGATAGGTCACACTAGGCTAATACGTAGGGACCTCCTCGCAAAGGAAAGATCACAAAAATGCCCTTTATGCAGCCCACATTATCAGTAAAACATATATTAACGTAGTGTGAGGAAATTTGCTCCACACAGAATAAGTGTGGTCTCCCTGCAGACTATAAAAAACTTTCAAAGCACATTAGTGATCATAGTAGGTTGATTGGATACCTAAACGTATATGGTTGAAATGATAATTTTACTTTGAGAGAATGTATGTATTATCATGAACGTTGGGGTTTGTTTGAGTGTATTTATATCGAGTACTCACAGACACGCCAGAGTAGTTAAGTTTATTTAGTTGTATATATTTGCTGTGCAATAAGAGGGTAGTCACTGGCATATTATCAAAAACGCTGGTGAGTACGAGATTTTGTGAATGCATTTCTTAGCATGAGTGGTTAAATGAGTATCAACTTGGTCTGTGGTGGAATATCGAGTTCCTGCAGACTCATTGAACCAATTAGGTTAACTTTGGTTGGATGTAATTTTTATTCTGTGAATGTATTTATTGGTGTGAATGAAGAGAAGACGTCTAGGTGAAAAACACTTTGCTGGCCTCCCTACTATGTTTTGGTTGTACATAATTTTAGCATAGTTGTACTTGTGGGGCCTCAGTATATGGAGAACTCTTGAGTCCCGCCAAACGTTTTAATAGTATAAATGTGTATTTTGATATATAGTATATTGTATAGTATATGTAGTAGTAGTAGTATAGTATGTGTATAGTATATTGTATTCACTAGGAAAATTTTTCATCATCTTGGTGGAAGGGTTAAATGCGAATAGTCAAAATGTGAGATGCCGGCATAGTGTAATAAAATTGCTTCTTATTAAATGAATTACTTTATTTAACATGAAAATTTACTTCTGTCTAGTCGAACAAATATGTTGGCTGAGTTATATGGTAAGATTTCAGTTTTGTTCAAAAGCTCAGTTAGACATTAAAGTTGAAGTTTAAGGTTATGTCTACATTGCCAGGCATTCTGCAGTATTTAGCCAAACATTTATTTAATATATTTCCCATATAGTTTTATATCCCCATGTTTATTAGGAACAACATAACAGTAAACTGGATTTGAATATTATTCCACAGGAATGTATGGTGATAAGTTCAGTTCAAATGGAATGTCCGTCCCCGGCAGTGAACGATGAATTTCACAGAGCCTTTAATGTTCAACGTATGAGTAGATCTTTGCCAGGCAAACTTCATGAACGTCCAACGAAACTGATGCTTCAAATTGGGTTCCTAATGGACAATGTGTTATCCGTAAGAGATCTTGATAAACACTACAAAGGACTCCGTTCTCAACTTGCCTACGTAGATGATCCGAATTTTTTTCAATTTCCAAATGATGTCAAATTATATAAAGGAGACACACTAGTAATTGAGGTAAGGGCATAAATGAACTGTTTAATTTTAAGTAGAAGAAGAGTAATTGTCACAAATAATTTGGTCATTGTAGGGTGAAAATTTAAATTATGCCAGTGACGAAAGCGACGTCAATGTAACTATCGGTTCAGTAGGTTGTAACGTCACGTCACTTGCAATGTCTCAGTTAGTCTGTACCCCACCACAATTTCAACCATCTCCTACTGATGAAAAAGGTGTAAGCACAAACAGAGGAATTCCAGTAGTTGTTGTAAGTGACTGAATATCTTAATTACAATTTTTTTTCTTACATAATAACATCGGCTTTTTACAGGTACGCGTTGGCAAAACTTTAAGATTCCAAATAGGTTACTTGCGTTATGACATGCTGTACACTTATTCTTTTCCTCCTGAGGCAATTGCAGGGATTGCTACTGGTATTGGATGCCTGGTTTTCCTTTTTGTTATAGTCCTTATTGTTTATCGGCGTAAATCCACTCAAGCTGAAAGGGAGTATAAAAGAATACAAATACAAATGGATACTCTTGAAAGCAATGTCCGATCAGAATGTAAACAAGGTAAGAACTGTTCTTTTTATTGTGGTTCCCACAAATACAGTGAAACCCCTTCTATAATGGACATCCAAGAAAAAATGTTTTGTTTTATTGAAGGGTGCCCATTCTGGCAGGGTTCAAAATTGATTTTTTTAAATCAAGATAAATGTTGTTCATAATACATAATATCTTATATATTTCAATGAATCTTATAAATAAATGATTATTCGGAGATAGTGAGATGCGGTCTGGTGTGACGTAGGTTTTAGGAAAACATTTTCTTTATCATGCCAACGTTTCGATCTTTATTGAGATCTTCAGGGCCTGGGATTTATAAAATTGTTTAAATTTAACAAATACATGTAGTATGTGGAAAAAAATGAATTTATACAATGCTAGAAAATTTTAGATAAAAAAAAAACTGAATTTATGCAATGCTAGAAAATTTTAGATAAAAAAATGAATTTACACAATACTAGAAAATTTTTTTGATTAAAAAAATGAATTTATACAATACTAGAAAAGTTTTTGATTAAAAAAATGAATTTATACAATCCTGTAAAATTAAAGATTCAATCAAAGTATTTGTTTTCCATGCAGACATGTTATTCTTGTGTGTCGTGTTGAGAGCGCCAGTGAGATATTGATGTTTTATGTTTTTATACATTGGATTTTGAAGGGGTAGGGAAGGAAGTCGGGATTCCTATTCCATAAAACATTTCCATAAAAAAAATAGGAGGGGGGAAGAGCCATCAAATGCCTGAAAAATTTATTCCTCTGAGAAAGAAAAGAGTTGTAGCCAACGATATTAAAATAATTATTTATTTACCATGAGTTTAGGGTTCTTTCGTTTTTGAAGGCCTCTGGTCTATGATCAGAGGCTAGTGAGTAGTCTTAAGAAAATTTTCAAAGTATGTTCATCCAGTGTTCAGTTTGGGTAACCGGTTAATTACCACATACCCATTGTGTTTGAACAAAAATTGAACACTGCACTCACTCCATCATTCATCATTTCTACCCATTGTGTTGTCTGCTTTACACAAAATCCACTATCGTGAAGGCACTTTTCTAACTGCTGCACTTCTAACGGCCAGAAGAGAAGATACCGCTTTTACCCACTGATGTCACTTACTAGACATCAGGTAACAATCTGGAGCCTATAGGTTGCGCTCGAGATTGTTCTTTTCCATTGTTCCTGTCGCCCACAAAGTCAACTTGGATATTTTGTGACTTAAATTTTTTGTAAATTATAAGTTCACATGTGAATAATATTTAGTTTAAAGAAATTTGTTAATTAGGTTAAGGTGTGCTGGCATCTATTCTGTAATTCGTAAAGACACAATAAATGTTGAATCCGGATTTTTTTGTTCTTATTTAATATAATTAGATGCATACCACCCATACTGAGGATCCAAAATTAATTAATGGATTTTGCAAAATTGTTAATTGTACAAGAAGCTTTCAGAAATGTACCTGTAATTCCCAAAAATAGAGTACAAAAAAAAAAAAGAAAAAAAGCTCTTAGAAAAGAGCAAAGAAAATCTGTGTCAATACACAAAATGTAAGTAAAAGAAGTTTTATTATTTCTCAGTTCGGTTAGGGTATCCGACTTGTATTTCGCACGCTAGCGGTCCTGGGTCAAATCTTGGCACTGGCATGAAAAATGTGTTGTAAAATGGACATTAGAGCCCCTCCTGTACGATAGGAAATACTTTACATATTTATTTCTCAGCAAAGAATTACATACCATGTCTAGCTTACCTTTGTCCATGCTAGAGGGGTGAATTACATTTATTGGGACTGACAGTAGTGTCCGCGAACAGTATGGAGAGGTTTAAAAAATATATTAGCCCTATATTTTAAAGGAGTGCCTCCTCATATTTGTCCCTCACCACATGACCGTAGGCATCATATTTTTTTTGGAGAAAAAAATGGCCAGTTGTACAATAAATTTATAAAAATAAGATTTGTAGAAAAACTAAAACTGAACGTTTTGAGTCTTAATTCAATTACGAGTGGATGCGAAAATGTAAGTTAATTTCTAAGGAAATTGTCCCATCAAAAATCACTATTTTTGCAAACTCAACTCAGCTTCTGGTCTTTTATGAATATTTAATGTATTTTTATTGTTTGTCGGTTCTAGAAGGGTGAAGTACTCTTAAGGGGGGGGACTGAAAGCAGTATCTGCGAAATGTATGGAGAGGATATTTTTACTGTTTGGGAGTTGAATAAGGTTTTAAAAAATCCTTTCCTTTGTGGTGACCTGTATAGTAGCTCTATTGTGGAACCCCTATAAAATCTAGCTATACTTTGGAAAATTCACTTTTTCCTATAAAACTAAGCACTTTCCTCAGTGCCTCTTCAGGTGCAGAGAATTTCCTTACTGAAGGAACTTTCCATAACTGGGCTAATCAATCATTCACAAAAGGACCTATGTTGGGTTCCTCCTGATAGTTAAGAGGGCCGGTATAGATGCCTATAATTTTTCTCAAATCCTACCTGCTGAGAGAGAAGAGATTCTTCATCTTTTGTTTTGAGAGATTTATAAATTCCTTAGCTTGACTCATACCTGATGCTATTGTCCACTGCTTAAGTTCTTTCTCAAGCCATTTTTCCAGTTCTAACTTCAAGCACACATTCGGGTGCATTTAGTATTGGATCTGGTCCTAAGGGTGAGAGGGCTGCCCTTTTTTTTGGCTTGTTGGTCAGCCTGGTCATTTCCTTCAATGCCTTCTTGTCCAGGCATCCACTTTAAAGTTACCTCGTTGTGTTTTCCTAGAGCCATTAGGTACTTTAGGCACTCTGAGAAAATTTTGGAGTTGAAAGCATTATGTATTTAGTGCTTTTATGGCTGCCTGGCTGTCTGAGAGAATGTATGCACCTTACATATTTTCTTTATTAACTCATGTGCATAGGATCCCATCTCCAAATGAAGCTAATCAGTTCCTTCTCTGTTGTGGTTATTTCATATATTTTACCGTTTATGTCCATTCTATAGGGTGAATTATTCTTGATGGGGACTGCTGGCAGTGTTTGCCACCAGTTTGTAGAGGGGGAGATTTATAGATGCAGATATCTTTTTTTTGTGCCAGGAATGCATAAATTGTATGTTACGAGAGGTGGTCCCTATAGAGGGGTTTCACTGTAACCCACTCAACACATGTGTATAAAACTAGTTTGCTAAGGGATCATCTGTTTTATTTTGGGATTATTAATTTCTCTTCTCAGTTAAGAAATGATATTAGTTTTTAAGAAACATTAAATAAAATAATTTGCTGTATTATAGCTTTTGCAGAACTTCAGACAGATATGACTGACTTGACGGCAGATCTCGAATCCTCTGGTATCCCAACTCTAGATCATAATGAATACATAATGAAAGTTTTCTTCCCCGGAGTGAGGGATCACCCTATACTTCACAACCCCAAGGTTAGATAGAAAGTGAAATTAAATAATAATAATAATCATTTAATAAATCAATATTATAATAATTAATTTTGTACATATATATTGACGCCTTAATTATTTTATGTTTAGTCAAGGATCATGGGGCCAACAACCAATTACGATGCGGCAATGATGCAATTTGAACAGCTTATAAAGAATAAATATTTCATTTTAACATTCATTGAGACACTTGAAGATCAGGAGTCTTTTAGCATAAGAGACAAGTTAGTTATTTGTGTATATATTTTTTATTTAAATCTTTTTATTTATTTATTTTTATTTTAAAGGGTCAATGTCGCTTCCTTAATAATGGTAGTTTTAATGGGACACATGGAATATGCAACAGATATATTAAGACACCTTTTATTAAGGCTCATTGATAAGTCAGTAGGAACAAAGCATCCTCAACTCATGCTACGACGCACAGAATCAGTCGTCGAAAAAATGCTTACAAACTGGATGGCTCTATGCATGTACAAATATCTCAAAGATTATGCGGGCTCTTCGCTTTTTTTGTTATTCAAAGCTATCAAATATCAGATAGAGAAAGGTCCTGTTGACGCTGTGACTCATGATGCGAGATATTCTCTTTCCGAAGAGAGACTACTCCGTGAGCAAATTCAACACGGTGTTGTGGTACGATAAGTGATAACCTTTTAAATTTGTCTTCAGTCATAAATATTAATAAAATATTTCGCATTTCAGACATTACACATCGTCCAGGATGACGTAGATGAAAAGTTGCAATGCAAGGTTCTTGACTGTGATACAATTAGTCAGGTTAAATCTAAAATTCTTGATGCTCTCTATAAAAATCATTCATTTTCTTTACGACCTTCGATTCACGAAGTAGATTTGGGTAAGTGATTCATTAATCAATTAAACTGATTAATACTTATTTTTAAATTTTAACTTTTATTTAACAGAATGGCGTCATGGTCGCGGAGGACACTTAACTCTACAGGACGAAGATCTCACCACAAAAACATTGTGCGGTTGGAGAAAGCTCAACACATTAGAGCACTACGGTGTCAAAGAAAGTGCTGTTATGTCCTTAATCCACCATCAAAATGATTCATACAATGAAATATTTAAACAGCAATGCCAAAATTGTAAGTTTTCATTTGATTAACAGAACAAATAATTTTTTCATATTTATTATTAGAGTCCGGATTTATAGGCAATTAAAATCCCCTGAAATATGACATAGTGTACACTAAAAATATTAAACTTGCAGTATAAATTCAGAAACATCACCCAAATAAAAACATTTTTTTAACCTAGACATTTTTTTTCTTTTTGGTCTAATACATATTCATTTTGAAATGAATTAGAACGGCAAATTCACAGTCATAAAAAACCATGTAATTTAAAATATACTGATTATTGATTTATACAATCTCAAATCATGCACGTACAGAGTTGAGCCTATCACTTCTCGCAGTACAGCAGCAATTCCATCTTTTGTAATTTACGATAAATTACCGTCAGGCTTCGAGAATTACCTATTCCGAGTGTTGGAAGTCTGGGGTCAGACATTGGTCCGCCTTGACCATCAAAACTAAACTAACCTTATTCAAGACTTTGTATGACCACTTTTTACATACAAAGTGGAATTGTGGATTTCTCCCAAACCATCCACCATCCAGGGCATTCAATTCTTCAAATTTTCCAAGCTCCTTACTACCTCACTAACCACAACGACCTCAACATTCCTTTTGTCAACAAACTGATCTGTTCCCAAATTTTTCCATTAATCCCTCGCACTGAGTACCACCATTGGCTGGTTTCTCATGGTATGTGTCTTCCTGGTACAGTGCTGGCCTTAGTGTTAGTGCTATGACATTTAGAAAAAACATTGTGACCACATTTGTAATATATATATAGACTATAAATAAAAACATTTAAATTCATATATATATTTTTTTAACGTGGGTATTTCAACTACAAGGTTATACCCTCAGGGTGCCGGTGTTTTTGAAAAAAGCCCATTTGTAGGGCTGCTGGATTCAAACTCCGGACCTTTACCGGACTTTTACTAAAGCGTTGCAGCCACCGATACCGAAAATTCATTAAACCTTTAAAAACATTATTTCCAGCTAAATTTAAACATAATTATAATAATAAACATCATATCATTTTATTATTATTATTTTTTTTATCCCATCCACCTCCCCGCCGTACCTAAGGGAGACCCCATACCGGCGAACTACGGCCACTAAACTAATTCAAATGGGATGCAAGTTTAGGGGATCTTATTGTGCTTGACGTCTTCCTTCGACCTTGCCCTGAAAGGGAAGACCCAAGGAAGAAGGGAAATTTTTTTCTTATTATTAATTTATCTAATCTAATAGGTCTCCCCCTTGCTGGTTAATCCTTTTGAATACATTTTCTAATAAATACAATATTTTAATAAATAAATAACAATTATGGGTACAAGGAGTAACCAGCCCGGTATTAAAAGTTCAGGGAAACACTAAGATCTAACAAGCAACTTATCATTTTATTATTATTTTTTTTAAATTTGTTCCAATTTGTATAATTATAAACTTTATTTGCAGGTACTTCCCCTTACATTGATAATTCTATTCCCAACTTAATGGGTAATAATGGTGATGTCGAATCGGGGTCTAATTTACACGTCTATCACCTTGTCAAGCCACTTGAAGAACACTCTTATTTAACGAGCAAGCCGAGCGAAAGGACGCACAAAGCCATTCCAGAAATATTTCTCACAAGGCTCCTGTCTACAAAAGGGACTATTCAAAAGTTTGTCGACGACTTTTTTAGTACGATTCTAACAGCAAACGACGCTTTGCCTCCTTCTGTGAAGTGGTTATTCGATCTTTTCGACGAAGCCGCCAAACGATACAATATCTCAGACAATGAAGTTATCCATGCATGGAAATCAAACAGGTAATATTCCCTGCAATATAAACCATATTTTTTTGGAACATTTTTTAAATGCGAAATTGTTTTCAGCCTTCCCCTGAGATTCTGGGTAAATTTCATAAAAAATCCAGATTATATATTCGATATAAACAAGACAACGACAGTGGATTCTTGTTTATCTGTAATTGCTCAAACATTTATGGATTCTTGCTCGACAACTGATCATAGATTGGGCAAAGACTCTCCTTCTAATAAACTCTTGTTTGCTAAAGACATTCCTCAATATAGAGAAATGGTAACAAAGTTCTACGCTGATGTTGCATCTTTACCTCAAATTACCGATCAGGAACTAAGCACAGCAATGCAACAGTTATCCGCAATACAGGCGAACTATTTCCATACAATATCAGCATTAAAAGAGTTGTATATATATGTCACAAAGTATAATGATCAGGTATGATTTATATTTTTTATTATTCATCTGGTACAATCGATTGTTTTTTTAATGATTTTTTTTTTAGATATATGAATCTCTTGAGACTGAACCTACTTGCAAAAAACTTAATTTGAGTCGAAAACTAGAGACAGTAGCTTTTACTTTAGAAGGTGAACAGACAGGTTGCTGACAAATGCAGTCACCTGACACGTAAGGCAGATCAGGTGACTATGGATAATAGTGAGTGATAGTTTTTGATGCAATAAACCAAGATCTGATTACTTAATTTCATTTCATTAGGTTTTCTAGATTATTAGAATTTCTTAAAATTTCCTTAGTTCCTTGAAGACACGTTATAAACTAAATGCAATAAATTTTGAAATTTGAAATATTTCGATTAAAGATGTGAAATCATGTTCCATCGTATTCAAAATATTTATTTGATGTTATTTAAATGTATCTTAGTAAAAATGAGTGTCTATTTATGGAAGCAAAAACCGTTCAATATATAAAACCGTTAGGTTGTTTATTAAATTAATTTAATGATCACAAAGTCTGACACAATGGTGAATTAATTTTCTATATTTTTTATCATTACTTAAGTACTTATATTCTCAGCCTGTAAAATAACTTTATAAATCTCAATGTCATAAATTTATAAATTCGATTAATTTTTTTAAAAATCGTTCTTTAAAAAAACTTGGCCATTATTATGTAATACTCGCATTTTTTTAGGTTTTATTTTATACTATTTAACTTTTAATATGAACAATAAATGTGTTGTCTATTGTCTGAAAATATTTGTAGCCATTAAAAGCTTAGTTATACTTTGAAAAATTTATGAATTTTTGGAAAATAATCTCAATTGAAAGTCCAAATAACTGCCTATTGATTTTTATTGAATAGCTGTTATACTTTCTTTAGCTAAGGATTTTTTTTTAATCGTTTATTTAAAAAAAATGGTTAAGTTATAATTTCACTTATATTAATTTCAGTAATCTCGAGGTATAAAGTACAAATAATTATCAGTGTTTGAACATGTTTTATTTGTAAGCGCAACCACATCAAAAAAGTAATCAGTAGTAGAAAATCAGTGCAATCATCTTTATTAAGAGAGTGGCTCAAAGTGCTTTTCTTAAAATTGTCTATTTGATAAGAATAGGCAGTTATATGGAAATTATTTCGGTCAATTCATTGGATTTACTGTGATAACCTCTTTATTAAAATAGGTGTTAAAAAATTTTTTACAATTGTGTTATATATATTTTTTCTTTTCGAAATATAAATGTGTAAAATATATTGTAGCAGCATAATGTTAGGAAAATGTAATATCTCGATAGCATTTTAGTATTTTATATATTGGTAAATTCTATGTATTTATTTAATAAATACTTTTGTGTTTCATTCTATTTCTATGAAATTGTTTAGATCAAATGTAATTGTAGTAAATTTTAAGGCTTTTTTACTTTAAAAATAAGTCTGATGTATTAAAAAGTATGCAATAATGACTTGAATACAAGGTAATGATATCTGGTACGAAATATTTTAATCTTTTGAATCTTGACACACACACATACACTTCTCATGTATTACCATAAGTACATATTTGAATTGCAAGTTATTTTTTAGAAATTAAATTATCAATCGTTTGAGAATAAATTATTTAAAAAAAATAAGACTATCATGTGTGGTGCCAAAGTATGTTATCTGTGTTTTTGTTCAGAAATAATTTTTTATGCCTGGAAGTTTTGTAATATTTTAAAAATAATAATAGTTATAATACATTCCATGACAGTTAATTTAATTTTAATTTATGAATGAAATTTTTAACATGTAAAGCACCAGTGGTCTCAAGTGAACCCTCACTCTGAATGAATTGTTGTTCTGGCCTGGAACAAAACTCCGAACACTTTAGCTAATGAGATTTTTTGAGGGAATATTTTTATTTATTTTTTTGAAAGCTAATTTTTCTCAGTTTGGATCCTTTTTTGCAATTAATGCCAATTAGTAATGTTTATATACCCACTTAATTAGGTTTGCTGTAAGGTTTCTGTAAGCTCCATCCATTTCTAATATCATGACAGCAACTTTTTTGCTAGGTGGACCGTCAAGGTGGGCTAGCTAACATTTTTTCTGTGATTGGTACATTTATAGTTGAGGAAACAAACAAATCTCGAATTTAATCTTAATTCTACATAATGACGTCTCAGCTCTCGTTGGTCTCGAAAGTTGATTCTATTAACTTTTCCACTTTTCTGCCCGTCTTCACTTAACTCCCGTCTCATCTTGTTTGCCTTTACCCAGGTCTCTTTGGTCATTTATATCCTATGTATACTAAAAAAATCAAAAATCTCATTTTGGCCTGAGGATGAGGTATGCATATGGGGGGGAGGGCGCTTTAGGTGTCCAAGCAGGTTTTTATTTTTTTATGTATATTTTTTGAGTTTGTCAAAGCTCAATAGTAAAGTTTTAATATTAACTTTTTTCAATGGATATGAGATCTTCTGTTATCTTTCTGTGCTTTCTTATTGGCACTAGCGTTTTAACACTTTTCAATTAAAAGAAAAGTTCAGATATTCCATTAAATTCTACTTAATCACCTGTCTTACGCATTTATTTGATGAAATAAATTTATTCAAGTAACAATTATTCTTCTAGAATACTTATATTTTGAGAATGTTATTCAAAAGACTACTGTGACCCACGAAATTTAATCAATTCAGAAGTTGGAAGAAAATTATGAATTTAGAAGCAGGATAGGTTTTTAGTATTTATTATTTTTGTTTGATGCAACAATATTATCTATTTATCTTTTGAACAACAAATGAAATGTAATGTGCCAACATTTCAATTGAAATTATTATTAGTCCTGAGTTTAAGGGATCAGATTATTGCAGATTTGTTTTCCAAGTATAAACTTTTTTTTGTAATTTGTATTATTTGTTATTTTTTATGTCGATTTGTATTGTTCGTGCCTGGGCCTTAAAAGTATTTCCTTGCATTTCTTTATTAAGATTAATTCAGTTGTGTACTTCAATCACCAACAAATTTTTTGATAAAGTGTATTTGTGTGTTTAACTATATATATGTATTTTCAGAATATTTTCTTATACAAATTAAAATCAATAAAATGATCCTTTGCCGAGTTATTCCAAATTAAAGGTACAGGTAATTCACCATCACTGTACTGATGTATATATTTTTGATATTCCATATGGCGATTTGTCAACAAGTTTGAACTAAATTTAAATAAATTCATTCTTATTATTTGAATTTTGAAATAATTTATCATATTACATAATTATATTTTTAAAAATTAACTTTTGTGATAAAAGGAATTCAAAATGCGTTTTTTTGTTTTTTAAGTTTTTACCGCCTAGAATTTGTGATATTTCATCTAGGATCAGAAACACTGTCTTATCTACACTTTCCTACTTAAAACTTGATTCCTGTCATCTTGAAAGCTCTTGTAAGGTCCTAGGCTTTTTATTTTTGTACAGTGCTGATTGGACAAGATTCATTTGTTTCAAAATTTGACAATTATTTCATAGTTTGTCTTTTTTTGCAGTTTGTGGACCAATTCTTATCTACTTTAAACAATTTTTATACTCTTGATTAAAAAAAACCTAGGTTTCCTTCATAATTTTTTTAAAACCGTTCGTAGGGATATCATTGCCGTATGTAATATCTGTTTTTTTTTTTTTAAATATATAATAGCAAAAATTACACAGTATGATGTTAGTTAAATATTTCTTACAATTTTAGATGCCTTATAAATATTTTTGTACAATTACATGTAAATGATTCCCAGCTTTATTCCCAAGTTTTATGCAAAATATCTTTTTTCGTTATTTTACCACTGTATTATTTGAAATGCAATGTAAAATTACCACTTGACAAGTATATTCATGTGATTATTTTGTCTGTTTTGATTTTTTAATAGTTAACTTTGCATTTATTTAATGTTTAGTTTAAAAATATTTACTTTTTTATTTTTATATATTCTTGTCGAATACATTAAATATTCAAATTTGATTGTATTATAAACATGTAAAATCAAATCATAAGGATAAAAATCACTTTGTAATTAGTGCTATTAAAATGAAAGTATTTATAATAGATGCATGGATCTAAAGTGGATAAGAAACATGTACAGAAATTGTAAAGTTGTAAATAAAATTTTGATATATCTGTATCTACTGCAAATATTATTTTATAAGAGCATTATACTGTTATAGCGTGTTCTAGAATCTAGCAATGCCCTTTGGCCGTATTAATGGCTCTTAAATACGAAAACATTTATCCATGTGTGATATAATATGCTTTAAGTGATTGTCCACATAGCTAACCGGTGTGTACTAATTGTATGTATTTGATTAGTGTTATTTGCACTAAGCGTAGTTTAGATGATAGTATCTATTCTATTTTTTATGCATTAAAAGTTTTTTTTATATATTTTTGTTTCATTCCTTTCTTTATTTAAATAACCATAATCCATCAATTTTTAATTTAATTTGATTCTTTACACACAGATTTGGGGCACAAATGCTTCCACTGCTTCATTGTTGCATCAAAATGATCCCCCCCCCCAAATTTCTTCCATAAAGATGAAAGTCACAAGTAAAATGCCTGGACTATTCTAACGTTTTCCGTCCTATTGCATCCAACTTTTGCCTCGCGGCGTTAGCTGTATGAGACCTGGCGTTATGCAGAAGAATGACACTTCAGGCCGATTGTTTTTTCCTTTTCCTCCGAAACAACAACCTTGAAGCATTTAATAAAATTGTGCATCGATTATTGAGAAAGTCAACTACAAAAGTCGCCTCATAGTTGGCGACAGACACTCGTCCTTGGGCAGAAATTGTGGTTCTCGTCCTCGACCTTTTCACACCCTCCAGAAATTTTTTTTACACTAAGCAAAGACGAATCCTTGACAGGGTGTTGTCCCCGTCCTATGACTTTAATCGCCCTAAAATTTTGGTTGGATTCACCCTCTCCTTGGTAATAATCCATTGTTCCACAGACACTCACTTGTTTCTTACTCATAGTTTCTGTTGATACTAAAGGGTCCTGGGTTCCTGGGAGAGTTGCTGTCAATTCTCTCCTGAACACAATCTACTTGCACATCAGTCCCTTTCAAGTCTACATTTTTAAGAAAATCAGTCCCGTATATATTTGATACATCCAATTTTTTAAGAGTACGTAGATTTGAATCTAGAAACTGATTTATTGGAGGATGAAAAGACCTAGCTGTGATAGCCCACCCTCAGTGGCTGGACAGATACCATGGTCTGTAACTGAACTGCCAACACAGGTGGGTGATTCAAAATGCTTGCTTGAGTTTGTCAGCGTAATGCAAGAATTGATAGGCTCGTGAAAATATTGTGAGGATTAATTGTCCTTGAGTCTGAAATTCTCGTTTTCGGAAGGAGAATGGACACATTTTTAAGTTCTTTGTGTCCAAAAAGGTTTAAAAAAATAGAATTAATTCATCATGCTCATTAAATAAATTTTATTCAAGTTTAAACAGTCGATTTTTAACCCTTGATATAAAAAATAACTTGTGTCAAATTTAATCATAATTAATTTAATTTAATAAACTTTATTACATTATTTTTAAAATGATCTTAATAATTTGGATGGAAGGATTAGAAGCACTAATCTTGTCATAAGATTGTTTTTGTCTAATTCCATATTTGAGTTGTTTCTTTGAGAAAAATCAGTTTTCAGCCAACAGATCAACGATAATCAATTCATTGTACATTAGATATAATTTTCAGGAAAAACAAAAATCTATCCATTCCTCATAGCAATTGTTCCCATTGTACATCTGTCGCAAATTTGTTTTTATTATCCTTAGAAAGACTAGAACATTAAATTGTAAAAAAAATATCACGTATGAAATTTTATTACTTTAATTATTTCTAACACCTATTTGGATTCGGAANAAAAATTCTTCGAATCTTTGTGAAGATACAATTAATTAGGTTTTTATCTCCACTAAAAACCTTAATTAATTGTATGATATTATTATACATATTGGTCAAGCTGACCATGAAACTAGTGAATTTAATAACTTTGTGAAGATATTGAAGTTTTTCTTTAGAACTCTATAATTTCAATTTATCGTTTAACTGTTTTTTTTTTTTTTTTTAATTGACAAATTAAATTTTCATATTTTATTCTACTAAATTTTCCACATTTTTTAAACCAGTTATATAAGGAAAATGTTAATATCTCCAGTGTGAATCGATGAATTTGGTTTTTCACACATTTTGTAAATCCTTTTCATTCTAAAAAAAGCTTAATAGTTACATGATAAATTGAAAATGTTATTTAATAACATGAAAATTTATTTTGATTTTTAAAAATCTAACTAAAACAACAACCATATTATATAACACAAATAGAAATTATTTAGTTCTGAAGGAAAACTTAAATATGTCCAGAACAAAATGATGAATTTTCCCACCTCCTCAAAAAAAAAAAAAGAAAAAAAAAGTTGATCGCCATGTCAGCTTAACTTGCCTGCTTATTACAAGTTCTAATAGCACCAGCAGATTCTACATAAAACATTACTTTTAGAACCATACTAAGTTTTACAAAAAAAATCTCGCCAAATAATTTCAGTTTATATTCAATTTTTTACATATATGTTTGTCATTTGTCATAAATGCAGCAATTTATGGAAACAAATCATTTTCCAAACATAAAAGTTATAATATGTACTGTCTGCAAGGTGACCTGCATCACAATTATTTGTGTTCAATCAGACGAGTTTCGGCATTTCACCATTTCAAAAGGTTTTATATTTTTCATTGAAAATTTNATAACTTTGTTAATAATAAAACACTCATTGGACAGTCTTAATTATTGAATTTTATCATTACATCAATACATATAATTAATTATTGATATGTATATGCAAAAAAAAAATTATTGTTAAAGTTTATGCGAAAAAAAAATTCCACTTTAAAAAAAAACCTAATGTTACTAACAAAAACAACAGAAACATAACATAACATAAAACATTGATAATTAACAAAATCTTCATAATTGTTAAAAATAAATATTTACTAACAAACACCTCATAATGACATTTATATGGAATATTTCTAAAGTCAATTATAAAAATATATCATTATTCTAAGAATTTATTGAACAAATATCACTTTCCAATCCTTTTATTTATTTGGATTATTCAATACTTCCTGTATTTTTTTTTTTTTTTTAGCAAATATGATTGTCTTATATGGCACCTTTAATTATTCTTAGTCATATTGTCATCAGCGAATGACTCAAACATACAAAAATACCCAATACTATGTACAAACGTTAATGCTAACTAAATTTCACACTGGAAGAGTAACTTGGAATAAACTAGAGTACTTTAAATAAATCTTCCCATTTTTTTCTTTACAAAGAATGTTTCTTTTTAAGAGATCTACGATGGAATGCAGTGGATAATTGAAATAGAAGAAAGTAAGTCCATCCTGTAAAGACGATTCAAAGAGCCAGTCACTCTTTAGTCGTATTGTGTTTAAAATTAATTCTATTTTTTTTTCTACTTCATGAAAAAATGATTAAAAGATCAAGAAAAAAATTTCCCAGACTTCCACAATCTCAGTATCTTATTGCTCATGAGTTCACCGAGAAAATCCAAAGCAGTCGGATTGAATGTAGCCTTTACACTCCCATAGTTGTAACAGTTGTCATAAAAGAAAATTGTTCCTTTTTCGACAGTGGTTCGAGCGGTTTGTCCTGGAGGGCTCATTGTAGGATTGATTATGACAAAACTGTCTGTCGGAAAGGCAGCGCATTCGGTCTTTCTCAAAACCCTCGGCCATGATTTCTCTGAGCCCTTTGTGTTCTTTTTATCCGTGCAACAAAGTCTTGTGCGCAAATCAATCTTGGTGTTCTTCAAAACAGTGTGGTTCGCGAACAGGCGGTCCAGTTTGGCGGCGTTTTTTGGCACGAGGTATTCGTTCCAACCTAGGGCAACGGTGACAGCCGCTCGATCGGCAGTCCTGTACAAACAGTCTTTCTGCAGGAGAAATTTAGCCACCCGACTGTCCAAATAAGGTAAATTCCAGTTCAAGACGGAAAAGGATCTAAATGAGCGGGACGCCGATGCCATTCGTACGGCTTTGTCGAGGAGGCCGTAGTGGAGGCCGAAGTCGTAGAGTAAGACGTCAGTGAATCCGACGACCTGGTGGAAGGCGAGGAATTCGACGAGAAACGTTTTCGGGAGGCCGGTTAGGTCCGGGTAGACACACAAGGCGGCGGAGAATCCGTCCGCCTTGGGAGGCGGCCGGAATACTGGCACAAAATACTTGCGTCCGTCGGCCGGGTCGACGAGTACGAGCATGTAAGGACGACCTTTGACCTCCTCGACCACAGAACACGTCAGCTCGTAGAAGTGTTCGTCCGCGGTGTCGATCCGCTCTGAGGCGATGGCGAATTCGCCCTCAGTCGAAGATAAAATCACGTCTTTGAAGTCGTACCAAATGTGGCATCGGAAACTCCGGGTGGAATCTTCCGCTTTCCCGACGGCGATCGCCTTCACCAAGGATCTCCCGCCCGAGATCGCGGCGAAAGCGGAATACACGTGGAAACGGCCGACGGGCGTCCAAAGCGGGCGGGGCCGGCCCAGGGCGTCCACCATCCCATCGTCCGCCCCCGTCTCGTTCAACACGAGGCAATTTCTGTCGGAAAAGCCAGACGAGGAGTCGACCACGACGAACATCTCGAACGTCGACCTCAGCTTGACGTACTCGTTCCTGTAGAGGAAAAGCCCCGTGATACCGATCAACAACACCGCCCAAACCAAAACTTGCCTGTATTTCTTCATAACTTTGAAACAAAACAACACAAAAAAAGAAAAAAAAAAGAAAACTTCAAACGAAAAACCACTCGCCTCTTACTTCCTTACATTGTCAAAGATAACAGTCTCGTAGGCTCCATTAAAATCGAACTAACCCTTAAGTAGGGATGGAAACGATATATCGATATACACTGACGCCAAAAATTCTGCCCCCCTTGTAATATAACTTGATTTGTATACATTTTTATATATTAATCAAAGTTTCACGTTTTTAACATTTTATAATTGAGTATTTGTCTAAAAAGGTAAATTGCTTCGGAAAATGAATAAAAAAACACGGACAGATAAAATTTGTTCTAAATTTTTAATTAACATTTCAATATTGCGCATTTCTTCCTCTTGCTTGAATTACATCTCGCAGTCGCCTCGGCATACTTTCTACCAGTCTGGAAATGTCTTTTTGCTGGAGGTTAGCCCATTCTTCACGAAGTGTTCTTTTAAGATCGTGGAGTGTATGGAAATGCCCTTATTCGTCTTTTGAGGTTACCCCATAAATGGTCGATGGAGTTCAAGTATGGAGAACGAGTTGGACAGGTTAAGACCCTGATGCTATGGTGTTGAAAGTACGTTTGTACTCTGCGAGCGATATGCGGACGGACATTATCATGCATTAGAATAGGATTGTCACTGATTTCATCGAGGATAGGCAACGCATGATTGCCATGATCCAAAATTTTATCCACATAGCAAGTGGCCATCAAAGACCCTCCATGAACAACAACCGACTCCCTGTACAGGGGGCTACTCGTGTTACAAACTTTGCTAGTAGATTTCACTTTTCGACAGCAACATATTTAATAAATAAAATATGATCTACTGCACTGATAAGAATACCAAGATTTACAAGATTAAATACATAAATGAATAAAAAGTATATAAAATAACTGGGTCGTCGGCCCAGCTGGATTGGAGCCCTAGGCCAAAGTTTCAGGGTACCATAAAAAAAAGTGACCTATCCGAACCTGTCAGTTGTTCAATTTTGTTGCCTTGCAGACCAGTTCCCTCTGTACGATTATTTTCCAAAGCTGGACAGATTATTTCAAAAACCAGAAATCGCTTAGAGAGTAAATTTGCTTTAAAGCCGTTTTTTAAATTCCGTTCCGGAGATGATATAGTGGTAGTCTTTCATTGTAAAATTGGGATAAATTAATTTTAATAACTTAAGGATTGGTTTTAGTTACATTCATGTTAAAACTTTACCTATTTTTTTTTTTTTAAATTTAAAGCAAGGGACAGAAATTGGGCTTGGGTGGATTATGGATGTTTTACAAAGTAATGATGGGCAAAGAAAAAACAGGGGGGTATTTTGAATAAAATTCACAGGCACAAAATACTTAGACATAGATGTCTTCTGTTAAAAAGCGACTGAAAAATCTATATATAACTGCATCCAAATAAATGGAACCAGAGGGGAAAAAATGTTATTAAAATAACGAACCATGGTTTTTATTAATTAGAAATGACTAAGTTTGAAAAAAAATTATCGATCGTCCTTAGAACAGCTTTTTTCCGTCATATTAACCTTGTTTTTAAATTAGCAATTAAAACTTTTTCCTACAAAATTGACCCTTTTTAACATCAAATTAACATTTTTTAAAATTTGAAATTAACCCATTTTAACTAACAATTAACCTTTTATTTTTAAATTGTGCGTAACGAAAAGGCAGACAGGCTAGAGGATTTCTGCTTCTTCAAGTTTACTATTCTTAAGTAAATCTGTTACTGAAAATAAGGATTAACATTTAATTTAACTTGATTGACATTTGACTTAACTTGATTAACTTTGAACCTATTCTTGGGAACCTTAAACACAGAATCCTCCATCACAGAATGGATCCAAAAAAGACAAAAGAAATGGATAAACTCTAGAGGTGCTAAGTGCAGTAAGCTTATGCTAAAACAACTCTCATCAATACTGGCAAACTCAGTGCTACAGTCAGAACCTAAACTCGGAGGAGCAATGGACTACTGGTCACTGTCATCTGAGAAATCAGCTAACATGGGTATGTTCAACAATGACCTCATTTGTAGGTTATTGGAATGAGGAGTCAGAAACAGCCACCCAGGTCATCTTCAAATGCGAAGCAACCGCTCAATGGAGATTTGATCTAGGATACAAAGAAAACCCAGGGAAAGGAATTGTAGCAATGACAGTCAATGACCTAGTACTTCTTAAAAGTAGGATCAAGTCAATTGCACTGAACTAAGGAACTTGGAGAGTACAATAAGTCAGAAGACTGTAGTGCTTGGGGAATATACCCCATTTCCTTGTATACATATTTATCATCATCATCATCATCATACACCACATTATTAATGACATCAGCTGTTCTCTAGTTTTGTCTAAGATGCTTGGGTAGTTATATGAGTACTTCGGTTCGCTCAAATTTTGTCAAAAAGGCTTGTTCTACCTTGTTTTAGTTGTTGTTTCTTCTGTTGAAAGATACTGATTAATTATCTGTTCAAACAATTGTACTCATTTTGCACATAATCTCCCTACATACTCGCATATTTGGGAACATGCTAAACTTATTGAAACAATCTTAAAAATTTTTAAATAAAAATATATATGTACATATATATAAAAATATAAATACGTTTTGTACAACATAATTAGCATTTATAAATTCATTTACACAGTTCTTAACATAATCAGAGTTACTCATTCAAATTCTTAAAAATTAACGTCTTCTATGTGTGACTTGAGTCCACCCTTCACTGTCAACATTGTCATGATGGAGCTGAGGCACTGATTCAGAAGCTGTTCTATGATGTACCTAGAAATAAAATATAACAATGTATCAATAAGATCACTCCACTCTACTTGGAAGAAAATTTAACAGAAGGATATTGCTTTTATTTAACCATGAACGTGTTAAGCCTTTTTGAAGATAGGACATATAACTGACGCAGACCTGGCAGCTGTTCATCTGCTCCTTATGCCAAATGCTTACTACTAGCTTGTACTTTTTCCCAGAGCAGCACACTACTTGATTTTACCATTTCTGGACTATCCTGTTGATAGGTACCTTATCTTTATTCCACAAACACTTCTTCAACCTCTTCTTTTTTTCCAGATATTCTACATAATCCTCATTAAGGTTCATGCTCCCTCTTGCATTTTCCACTTACCAACCTTGTTTCTTCATTTCATTATTTGGTTGAAAGCCACTTTTATCCGTTGCCTCTGCCTACCTTAAAAAAGCTTCAAGGCTCCGGCTCTTTGAAGATTATAAGGAAATACAGGCTCAACATGTTCAGTGCAGCCTGGTAAATCAATTTCCTCCTGGACAGCAAAAATTTCCTACTCCTAGAAACGTTATGCATCATGACCTGCAGGTCATCCATCAGGTGGATTGAGCCAGTGTGGCCTTAATGCAGGTCACCAGCACTGAACATGTTAAAGAAGGTAAAGAAGGGTGTCCCAACAGATCTGAAAACCACTGATAGGATCAAGAGGGAAATGGTTTATTGGTAAATGGAAAGTTTAAATATAAAACAGAGGTAACAAGTACAAAATGAATTAAGAATAATACAAACCATTGTACACAATAACAGCTACAACACAAACACAATCGAAAAAAAAAAACAAAAAAACAATAAAATAAAAAAAACCGTCAATAGTGCCACGCCTTGGCACCTTTCAGGGAGTGATATTATATATAATTAGCAAGTGAGTGGAATATTGAGTACCCCATCAGCCCTCAGTGCATTGGAGGCTAATATGACTGCTGGTGGCCTCAAAAAAAGCATAAAAAAAGTCAAAACATAAAAGAACAATACAAGGAACAAGTCAGATCATTTAGGAACAACAGAAAATTGAATAACATGACACTTATAGAAAACAACCATGAAGCATCAATAATACAAACAAGTATGAAACTATTATATAATGAACAAAACAGAGAAAAATGAACATACTCGAAAATTTAGAAATGTACAAACGTAACACAGTTAATGTTAAAAACTCCTCATTAATTCACAAATTAACCTGGATGATCTCTGCATTATGCAGTTAACTATAAAAAAATTTTAAAGGGAGTTTTAACTATGGGGTTATATGAACCCTCAAGGTGGTTTTGAGAGAGAAAAAACCCATTTGTAAGTGTGTAGAGTTTAAATGCAGGGCTGCTGAACCCGGGACCTTACAGAGATGAGCACTGGGTCAATACCTAAACCGTTGCAGCCAGCGACGCCCCAAAACATAGTTTTTAAAAAGCATTAAAGGTATGGACAGATTGCTTGACTTAGAGGCACGAGCAAGAAGGGTGACCTTTGTTCAGAAAATCCTGAAGCCAATTTTACGTCAAATCGTTGTATTTGGGAAAAAGTGCCTTTTTAATAGATTTAATCATCAATTTTGATAATAAACTTTGTGATTAAATAAGAGCAATATCCTTTGGCGAAAGATAAAAATATTATAAAGGCAACCATATCCAAATGGGTTGTTTTCAAAAAGCTTTCCTTTGGTTATTGTTGAACACATAAAAAAAAACCTTACCTCAGGAACAGTAAACACTTGTTGAATAGGAGTACTCTTTCCTTGTCGCCTTATAAATGCCTCCATCTGAAGTAGATCACCTGTTTGATAAATTTGGTGCATTTCTATTAAAGCTTCAACAACCGCCGGTGCAGAATCATCTTCGAGTAATGTATGGAATTCTGCATCCATAACATCTTCGAGATCGACAATGAAGTCACTCGGATCCGTACCTGGAATTGATTAATTTTGCAATTAGCATTGTTTAGTAGTAAATTACATTGATTTTGGTCATCGAGTACGTTTCGATGCTGAGTGCCTCAAAAGAGGGGCTGCCATGTATGGGTATATCACATATTTTAAAACATCTCACGGTCAAATTGAACAATAAACTTTTTATTTAAATGCTATAAGTCATGAATAATTTTGCATTTTAGATCAAAATGTAAGAGAACATGAGTATACTTACCAGCAGCGAGCTTCTGGGATATAAAATCTACAAAATCTATGACTTTCTTTTCAGTTTCTCTTGGTGTACATCCCGCAAAATTGTGATCTATGGCCAACTGCAATCCAAAATGCACAAGCAAAATAAATAACACAAATAAACTAACAATGTACAATAAAACAAGCTCTCATGATAATTTTTTGCCTATAAATTTTTTAAATGTAATTATGATAGGACAGAGATACTAGAGTTGTGTATTCCCGGACATGAGGGCATAGAAGGAAATGAACACAATGATCAATTGGCCAAAAAAAGGGGCAACTCTCTCACCCATGAGACCTTCAACTACAACTAGTACTCTGGAGTGTGTGCTTAAGTTGAAACTGGAAAAACGAATTGAGAAAAAAACTCAAGACAAAAGCACCAGGTATGAGGCAAGCTAAAAGATTTAGAAATCTCTCAAAAAAGAAGCCAAAGGAACTCCTCTCTCTCAGCAGGCAGGATTTTTGTGAATGTGAAGCGTAAGTCCAGTAATGGCACAGCCACTTCGGTAGGGCAATACTCACAATAAAAGAGGTCCACGAAGAGGCACCAAGGAAAGTGCTAGTCTTATAGCACCTTCTAAGGTATGACTACAATTATAGGAGTTTCACAATAGACCTAAACAGGTCATTGTTTTTAGGAGATGAGGCAGATTAGCTTTGAAAGAACAATGATATTTCAAAAGGACTCTTATCAAAGTAGTAAATGCGTACAATTACCTTTTTGTGACGCTAACTTCTTGTTTGTCACTCAATACACACTTTGTGCAGAAAGTCTCAGCAGCAAAATTTGTGCTTAATACTCTGTGGTCTAGGTTCATGAAGTATGATCTGGTCCCTTTATCTTCCAAATTTAAATTATTTAATGAGGTATGCTGTTCCATTCTCTCGTGTGGAAATCAAGTTTGAGGTTTTCAACTTTATGATCAGTTGGATAAATTGTTAAGGTACTTCATCAAGCAGTTGCTTACCTTGCCCTCTTGTACTCCAAATTACATCCTATATATAAAAACCTGTGTTGATACCTTATTTCTGCACACGTTGAAGCTCCATTATAAATATGCATTCAAAACCCTAACACTCCCTGGTCAAAGTTCCACAAAAATTACAGCTCAGAAGATAATAATAAAAAATATTTTCTAGTATGTGCACTGGAGTTCCTTGTCAGAGGGATACCATCTTTTCCGATTCTCTCGGGACAATATTTCTGAATGGATGGCAGAATTCCAGTGTGTTCTTTCCAATATAAGGTCTAGTGACAGCATGATGTTTTTGGAGCAAATGCTGGCAACAAAGAGGTTTCTTGTGTACAAAACTCTGTTCCTTAACTCTACCCCTTGGATAGGCGGCCAGAGGGATACAGAAATGTGCTCTCTGTGCAATACAAGGGAAAAGGAAACCGATGTGCACTTTTTGCCTAAATGCACCATCCTGTCTGAGATGTGTGCTTCATAGGTAGTGATGTGCTCTCAGAAGAAATCCTAGTCCAACTTTTAAATGAGCCAAGCCTGCAGCTAATAAAAGTCGCTCGTCACGCCTGGTAATACTGTTGGGAACTGGTACAAGAGTACAATTTTTGATTTAGATTAGATTTGATTAGAAGACATTTTTACTTAATTAATGTATATAAATATCTTGTTCTTTGTTCACCAGATTATTTTATTTGTTTACTTTTTCTTTCTGACAATATTATAAAACACAGAGAATATTATTATATTTTATTGGCTATTTCATTATCTTTTATTAATATTTTATCAGTAATCTCGACTCCAAGCAGATGGATATTCCATTGCTGTAAATACTTGTTTTTTTAAAAAGGTATGTTTTCTTATTCTTTTTTGAATTATTTCTGTTATTGCATGCAAAAGAACATAAGAATCTTTGAGTCCTTCTGTGACCTTTGGAACTTATCGGTAAATTTACAAAAGTAAAAAATTATGGTATTCCGCAATGGGGAACTTCCGAAAGATGGTTCTACAAGGGTAATAAAATCGAGGTGGTGCACAAGTATAAATATCTATGAGTTATTTTTACACCTCGTCTTTCTCAATCACACCACCTTAATGCTACAATTTCTGCTGCAAAAACAGGTTTAAATGGCATTTGGGCAAATCTCTTTAGAAAAAATCTTGACTTATGAAGCCAAACTAAAAGTTTACAACTGTGTCCTGCACTCTGTCGCATGTTATGGTGCTCAAGTCTGGGGCTTCCAGGCTTATGACATTTTGGAAAAATTTGAAAGATCTTTTGTAAAGAAACTTCTCATTCTACCATCTATTTCCCACCCTTGAATCCAGTTTGCCCCCTTTTCATACACGTTCTCCCTCCATCTAAAATATATATCTAAGGTTCTGGGCCTTCCGGATGATCGTCTGCTTAAAAATATTGCCCGACAGATAATTAGAAAGAACATTTCCTCATTCAGGCAATGGCCATCTCTAGCACAAAAATATTCTTGCCCTCTTCAAAATTCCAATGTTTAGGAGATTCTCTGTGAACTTTTAAAACTCCCAAATAAAATAAACGAAGTTCATCATGAAGAGGCTACGGAGAGCGCAAAAAGTACAGAGAGGTTTTGCTTGTTTAAGTTAATTTTTTAATGAGCACTCATTGTCCTTCATACCAAGCCTTTCCCAGAACCTTAACCTCAGAGATTCTCAATGGCTTTTTAAATTAAGAGGAGAGTTGTTATATCTGAAATTTAAACCCATACAATGAAATCTGTCCTCTCTGTAACAGTAATGTATGGGAAGAAGCATATCACTTTCTGGGAATTTCCTCACTGTCTTCAGTACTGCGTGTACCATATTTGATCCGTTATTTCCAGAGCTGAAATTCTGGAATATCTCACCAATCAAAAATCTCCCTCATTGTTAATATCTTTTGCTCGGCACACTGGAGAGTTGGATACGAGCGGCTTTTAAATATGCAATGATTGTCGACACTATGAAATTAATTGTAAGCTGTTGTATACTGTACTATTAATTCTCAAGAAGTAACAAGTTTCCTTTAAATCTTACTATTTTCCTTATTTTCTTTTTCTTGTCATGTTATACTTAGTACCAATTGTTGTATTTTTCTATTTTAATATAGTATTATTATTATTATTATTTATGTTGATGAAGAAGAAATCGACCACGACGATTAATGTGTTTGGTATCTGGTTTCTGGTCATGACTAGACCAGAAACCAGATCCCAAACACATTATTACTTGTCAAATAAAGTTTATTATTGTTATTAGACTTATACAGGTCACAATAGAGGAAAGGATTTTTAAAATCTTTAATCAACCCCCAAACCTTCAAATAAATGAAAAAAGACGTTTCCTTGTGCTAATTACGCTTTGAAATAATCCATTCTTTATTGTTAATCTTTTTATTGATTATTTTATCCTTGACACTTTTGCGCTTATACAAGTGTCACAGATTTACCTGGAATCATCATTATTATTATTATTGAAAGAAGTAAAAAAAAGTTCCTGCGGAGAAAGAAATAATAAATAAAAAGAATACTCACAGTAAAGGCGTACCAATTGTTCATTATAATTCCAACGTAATGAGACAACTGTTCCATCCCGTCGACTTCCATGTTTACAGAGGTTTCATTACGTTCAAAACATGAGGAAGAGGCGGAAAAAAGCCAAACAAAAACAGAAGAAAAGAAGTAGAAGAAAAAAGCTCAGAAAGTACGGAAGTCAACGAACGGTAAGGATAACCTGACGAAAACCTCCCTGGTGAAAACACGTGAGTGACCGCCATACCAATCGCCAAGCGATCGACCCTCTCAACCATGCCACATCGATCCTTCATTAATTTCCTCACACAATTTCTCCTCAATTTTTCACTTATTAAAAAAAAATAAATAAATAAATAAATAAAAGAAGAAGGGAAAACAAACGATGTACAGCTCTTTCTATTTCTTCATTAATGATAATCACCTTGCTCTATCTGGTACCGAATTTCATCTATTCACCGACGACCTAAAAAATGTATACAAAAATAATTAATGTTCAACTAATTAATGGCCTGTTTGCCATATAATATAATAATATATTATTAATAATAAATAATAACAACAAAACATATTTTACTATCATGTCGCATATATCACGACTTAAGAAAATTTTATTCTCTTCTGATTACGCTATATGAAATATTAGAGGACAACCTAGAAAATATTGCCAAATTATTAACTTTTTGACAGCAGAAAATTTAACAAATAAAATATGATGTACTATCCTGATAACAAGAACGAGAATTAAATGAATAAAAAATAAATAATTGGCGCGTCGGCCCGGCTGGATTGGGACCCTAGGCCAAAGTCCTGGGGCGAAAATGGCCCTTGGTGGTTCCTCTCCCTAAAAACATTAAAAAATAAAAAATTAACAAAAATTATTCTGCCTTAGATTACATTAATTTACAAGACTGGTGTCAAACTAACAAACTATTCTTAAATAATTCTAAACGTTTGTAAAATTTGTCAGGAAATGAGACTTGCAATGTTCAAGGAGGACGTTTTGAACATATAAAATTTCATAAAAAATATTTCTTGTTCTTATGTTCAATTTTGTGCAAAAGAGTTTTTTTTGTTTACTTTATATTTACTTTTGTAATTATTTAAATACTTTCTTAAAAGTCCTAATGCATAATGTTTTGAAACGGTTCGCCATCGAAAAATCAAACTTGTAGCAATGAAATTAAGTTGAAATATGAACTTTGAGAAATTAAGTATGCATTCACAGGTCATTAGTTGTGGAAATTTTCCTGCAAGCGCCAATATATGTCATTATTTACAGAACCAAGAAATTCTTTCGTAAACTTTAGACAAGCGCTCTGGAAACTTCGCCCATGATGCGGTTTTTCATCAATGTAGCACTTATAAAAAAATATACGTATAGAAAAACAAACAAAGGGGTAAGACGATAGCTCGAAATGAAAGAATTGATAACATACACGTTATTACACCTTCTGACAAAATGTTAGGGATGGTTCCGACTCAATTTTGAACAAAAATAATTCTAGAGGACTTTATCGAATTATTTTAGGTTTCAAAACAACAACTTCAAAAGGGTTTCAGATTTAAAAACATAATTTTTATCACATAAATGTATTTCGTCCTCGTCAGCATAAACTAGTTTCTTTTCCACTACAGCAGACTGATTGGCCCATATCCTTATCCAAACTTCCCGACATCATCGACATTTTTAATTTTTTATGGATATAAATATTCTCTATCTAGAGATTTAGAGACTCTTTGGTAGAAAATTGCACTTAAGAAAAAAAAATGATAAAGCTTGAGAGCAGTCAAACCTGTCAGAAAACGATGTCTTGCAATCTTCAAGGAGGAAGACATTGTGAACATTTAAAATTTAATTTTTACAAATATTCTTTACTTATGTTAAATTTTGTACAAGTCTTTTTTTTTAATTTATATTTACTTTTATAATTTTTTAATAGTTTTTTTTAAGTCCTTATGAATATTTTTTGGAAACAGTTGTCACCGAAAAATAAAATTTTTAGTAATTAAACGTTACTTTTTTTTTACTTACTACGTCCAGCACCTCGAGTTTATCCACTCCTGTCTTTTTGGGATCCATTATGTGATGGACTATGCTCTGTTTTTGTTATCCCAAGAATAACCCTTCTCTGACCCGTGTGTCTGCCTTTTCATTAATCAAACTTCCTTCGTGTACAGACACCCAAAATATCATCGGGTTATTATTTTCCCCTAGGTTTTGAAGATTTCGGATGCATTCAATGACTAGTTTTAATGTGATTTTTTACACGCTATTACTTTAATTTTTGGCTGTCCGATCTGATGAAGATTTTTTGCCAGTTTAACCTCTTTTCAGGCAAAAGCATTGATGGCGTGTATTTCAGCTTGAAAGAATGAGGTATTCTTCCCTAATGAGTTTGATTGCTCATATCTTGAGCTTGTACGAAAAATACCCGATACGGTTCTTTCGTTTGTTTTGTAGCCATATCTTATTGCATCTGATGCTCTCCTGAGTTCTTCTTGTCCTCTGTAGTCTGTTGAGAGTTTATAGGATGTTGTAGAGAGTGTTTGCGGGATCATGAAGAGTCAGTCCCTATTCTACAAATGGGTGTCTGATTTTATAGATTATTGTTATTTGCCCGAAGTGTTTAGTCCCATTCAATTAGATTGTTTCTAGGCCTAAATGTGCTTTTCCTAGCTTCTCCTCGTATAAATATTTCTAAACGTGGTAGGCTTAGCAAAGTTTCTAGTGCAATGGAGGGTGTTTTCAAGCGATGGTGGAACTTTTTCTTACGCTTCTGTCCTGTAATGAATTTCCCATTGAACAGAGAACGTTTTTACCCATTGATGGATCTACGTTTATCACCAAAGGGTTCAGGGGCGATAGGTGTACTGATTGAACGTTTCTCGTAACAATCTCATATATATTATAATAAACTAATAACCTTGGGCTTAGCGGGCTAAGCACTTCCTACTTACTTACTAACTTTTGAGCCTGCCATTTCTCGAAGCTCTGCGTGGGGAATAATTACGCTAGACGCAAGTACAGGACAGTCTCGCCAAACTAGACACTACGATTCGAAAAAACCACAAGTCCTTGAAAGTGTAAATGTAAATCTCCATCCGGAATGCAGAGTAATAAAGGGTGCGGGCGTAGGTCAGGGATAATGATCAGCCGTGTCCCTTCTCACCTTGTTCAATTACTCTACATTTTATTTCAGAAGACGTCGTCCCTCACTTTATTCTCCCCAAGAAGTCCTAAGACGAAAGGGACGGTTTAATTTTTTTGGATAAATAGTCAGAAATCATTAGAGATGAGTTCGAGGGCGATGAAAATAGAAGAGAAATGATGTCATCTGATGACTTGTGAAAAGCTGTATATTCTAGTGTTTCTGTCAGATTGGGAATTTCTCCATTTAGTGCATACGCTAGATTTACAATTTTTACACTTAATGAATTCATATGTTGTATGTTCTACGGTATTATTTAGTTGATGGGGAATTAAAACGAAAATGTAGAAGAATGTTTTCTCAACCGTCTTCATCAGCATTGACAAACAAACACAAGAACAGTACTAAACTTATAATTGTGTTTATCAGAAGATCAAACATCAAAAAGCTATCCAACATCTGATTCTGAAGTAATGTAGTGTGGAATATTTGCTGAATGAAGTGTGCCAGCCTGATAACCAAATCTTATGGTTTTTTTTTTATCATAAGGCCGGTAAATTTTGGTGTAAGGGAATAAAAAACTTAATGACTTGGGGGAATATTTAAAGTTAAGCTAAAGTGCATAGCATCAATATGTCGTGGATATTTCTACATGTACACATGCAACTAGGTGATGAGGGCTGGCCTATGCCTTCATCAGTTGTTACCAAAGCACATTGCCAAGTTGCTAGACACTTTAATTCTGTAATAAATCATACTAATTAAGAAATCCAGGCCGGAGCCCCTCAAGGGAGCATTCTTGGCCCCCATCTTTTTGTACTGCTGACGCGGGTGAACTGTTCTACGAGATGGGATAAATAAGCATGTAAAGTGAAATTCTTGTATATTTATGATTTTTTTAAATATAAAATTATTACTCTTAGAAGTCCATATGAAAATGAATTATATTGGAAATTAAAAATTATACGATACAACATGAAAATTAATTACAATTAACAGTTATGTAAAATTAAACATAAATACAAATCATTCTTCTAATATAAAATAACTGTTACATAGACCAATTATTTTATATTTAAAAAAAATAACCTCGAATTAATACAAGAATGATTTATTTTAATATCTAATTGTATATAACATATTTTTAAAAAAATCACAAATATACAGGAATTTTACTTTACATGCTTATATTTCATACCAGCTCCGAAGTTTTAAAAATATTTAAAAAACGATTACTTTGTCATTAAACAGGGTTACTTTCTCGTTAAAAACGGTTAATTTAAACTAAAAAAAAGGGCTAATTTGAAATGTAAAATTAAATATAAAAATCAGGGATTCTTCTTTTAATTTGCGAATTAAAATATAAAACAAAATGGGTTTATATACAAAATACTACATGAAATATAATTAAAATTAAAATCAGAAGTTACGTAAAATTGAATACAAAAGTAAATTGTTCTTATATTAATTTCATTTTTTTAAAATATAAATTAATTGACCTATAAAACTATTAAATTATTTTAGATTAAAAAATCTCTGATTAATGAAAGCAGAAACATTTGTATTTATATTTAATTATTTATAATCGTTATTTTTAATTGTGATTGATAATCAAATGATCATATAAATGGCGAATTATTTTATGTTAAAAAAAATTTATATTCTTAAAATTTCCTTTACTTATATTTCATTCAATCTCCTTAGTTTTTTTAATGCTTTAAATAAAGGGGTTAATTTGAAATTAAAACTGTCAAGCTGATGTTAAAAATGGTTAATTCAAAGTAAAAAAAGTTAATTTGTACGAAAAAACGTTAATTTGACGTTAAAATTGTTCATTATGCGAGAAAAAGGGTTAATTCCAATTGAGAAAAGGTAAATTTGACGAGAAAAAGCTATACAAAGGACGCCTATCGGGACTTCTTTGCTCGATGCTTTCGGAGATATAAAAATAAAATAATTATTACATTTAATATTATGAAAGAGACGATTGTCAAAGTGTTGCAACACTTAGTTTATGGAGCCACCAAGAATGTACACGAGCAGGAAAGAAAAATCGTCCACTAAAAACTGGAACCCTAAAATATCTGGAAGATGATGCAAATAGCCTACCAGATATGAATGAATGACGTTGAATGATGAATGAATCA